TTTTACAATAATTTCAACGATATAAACGCAATTTTTACGTTTATATCGTTGAAATTATTGTAAAATTTAATGAACCCTACTTGCAGCATTGCAATTTTTTTTATAAACGTTAAACTAAAAAGTAGCGAGTGAAAGCCAGCTATTTTCTCACAGCAAGGTGACATCTTTTATTGACATTTTTTTAATTTGGGTGTTTTTCATGATTAAGGTTAAAATTATAAAAATAGACCATCAGGATCCTTTCTAATTATCTCATGCAGTTACTCGTACGATAATTATCTACTCAACTTACAAACCACAAGACATGGATTTTTTTCCACTCGCTTGTTTCCATCTTCGTAGAATATATAAAATTGAAATGATTGGACTATAAAAACGGAATATATTATATATGTTAATTTTCATACGTACGTATGCCGTTATGCGATGTCAATTCAACATGTTTACACCATTCCATACACGAAGTCACAGACATCATTAACCAATAAAGCAGCTACTGATATCAAAATGGCAATTCATACGGACGGTTCATATGGACTTTCGTGGTAACTTCAAGTGAAGGAAAAGGGACCACTTCAATACCCCAGTTATATCATCACTTAAAGAATGTTTAGTGCAGAGTTGATCTTCTGTGAGTATCAGCTGACCACCTTTAGGTGGGCTCATATAACAATGGGGCCCATCATCATTATATGAACAAACAGCTGACATCAACAGAGAATCCAAACTACAAATGAACATTCTTGGCCATGAATCACCATGACACATGAGTAATGATAAACTAGTAAGAGTAATTGAAGTGAATGACACAGGTGGTAAAGGGACTTTCACAACTCCTTCCATGTGGGATCTACAATATAAGAAAATGTGAAACACATGTACGAGATTTCATGATGAATAACTATGAATATGATGTTAGTTTACGTTTAACTTGTTAATCAGATCTATGAAAATGAGGAAATTACAATATGTTTTTGTTTGACCATCCAAATGATAGAACATTCACCTACATTGCACGAATAGCTTTAGTCAGTTGAGTTTGAACGATGCAACAAGTTTCAAACGATCAAAGGCTTAGCATCAATCATGATCAAAGCATTTTACACCAAAATCCATCATCAGAGAATATTCATAAAACTAATCCTAACACGGTTTTTATGAACATGAAAAACATGTGACTTGGACGAGATTTGAACTCGCACCTTCGGGATACTAGTCCGCCGATCTACCTGTTGAGTCAAATCTCTTTTAAACTGCGTATGGACGAGAGATTATTGCCACGACAGCAGTTTTTAGTGAAAGCGTTTTACAGTGCATTTTACAGGAAAATAGACCATCAATGCATTTTCCACGAAAGCATTTTAACGTGAAAGCTTTAATTCAGAAGACTTTAATTCATAAGACATCGTTAAGTATGTCAAGATTATTCCATGTAAGCCATACTTCAGTACTTCGTCAGTAAAAAGACAGAATTCACCTTTCTTTCTACGTTTAATTGACTCATTTTTCATTGTCAACATTTCTTAAACTGACATCATGACTAAAATTTTTTATTGTGATTGGCTCCTTAGGAGCATGTCACCTTTCACAAAGACAATAAGTAATCCTTCAATGCGTTTGAATAAAACACCTTCAGACATTTTTGCGTTTTAATGTCGTTATGCAAAGTTACGATGCATGATCTTGTAGGTTAAGATTCATAAGACTATGATTAAATTAGAAACTAGACTTTAATTTTGTCCATATATTCATCGAATCTTGCAGTCAAGTCTTGTTAGGTTAAGGTTAGGAGAGGGTTTAAGGGCATTCTGTTTTTTCCCGATGTTTCTCGACTACTTAAAATATTGTAGGGAGTCGTAGAAATTCGAGCAAAAGACAATTACTGCTCTCGTCCATTGTAAGTCTATCCCACAATCTGTGAAAACGTTTGCACCTCTATGCACTCAACTACATATAGTGCGTTGGAAACAGATGGCAAATTTAGTGTATTTGTATTCATTTCATCGTAATGACTAATGTGACATTGAAGAAACAAACCAAAAATCAGTAGCATCTATAAAAACCCTTTTTTACAAGAATCTCAATAGTGACAAATCTTTTGAGCAAATAATCATTTCACGTCAGTGTAGTCACTTACATTTGTAGTTTCCAAGCGTCGGATCTATTTTCATTCAATCACAAATCTTTATACTTGTCGCCTAAGTGTATAGTCTTGTTCCATCTCATATGAAAAACATCTGCTTTCCTTGATGCCTCGTCGTTTATGTTGCAATACTGGCTATACATGAAATAAATTGTGTCTTTATACATGGTGTTAAGCATGTCATTATATGTATTTCTTCCCCACGATTGTTTAACATTCATTGTTCATACTTGAACAAATCACCCAACGTCTATCAAATCTAATTTTTAAAAATAAAACGTATTGTTGCCAAACAAAAGAACTATGCCCTCCCTTTATTAATATACGTAAAATGCAAGCACCACTTCTCTGTGACACTACGCAAATCGATAATTAATTAAATTTATTCAGTCTATTAAATAGCATAAATATGATTTTGGGCATTAAGATGTTGGTTAGATGAACCAAAACACACTTAAACCCTCTACTGACCTTAACGAGCACGTAACGTTTGACCACTTGACCAAATTTCGTTAAATCTGTTGGAAGTAACGTCATTGCATTTCTTCAGTTCACCACTGGAGTCAGTGTGGTTCTACCAGAAATGAAGTTGAAAATTGCATTCACCTACTTAAATGGTGTAGCCAGTCGGCTTGTTGCACATACTTGTGGTCCTTTGCTTGAAGTTCCAAGCTCCTATCAGTGATACAATGAACAGTTGAAGAGTTTTCTTCCGTTCTTTGCGAGAAAGTTCATGCACTTTCGATATTGTCTAATGGAGACGTTGAAATCATATCTTCACATCTAAATTTTATTCGACATTCCAATATTATATTTGTTGTTTGTGGTGAAATCCATAATATACAGTTGAAAGAATTATTACACCAGCTGATCGATTCATTAATTGTATTATGTAGAAACTATAAATACCTGTTTTAGTTTAACATTCAGTCTGTTTATTTTGAATGGCAACAACCATCTGGGATTTTTTCATAACTTCCTTGGCAGTATTCTAACGTTTAAATATGCTTGTAGTTTTGTTTTGATAATTTCTACTAAAGTAATATATATCGCATAATTCGTATTGCTTCTTCAATCTTGAAAATGTAAGCTCGGAATATTTAACGCTAGCCATTGTGATGTAAACTGCCTTCTTATTATTTCGTCATTGTTTAAGTAAGCAGAATATGGACTAGCGTTAGTGTAATTCTATTTGTGCTCGTGTACTTCTCTTTGTGCTTGTCATGTGCTTGTATTTGTGCTCGTGTACTTCTCTTTGTGCTCGTCATGTGCTTGTATTTGTGCTCGTGTACTTCTCTTTGTGCTCGTCATGTGCTTGTATTTGTGTTCGTGTACTTCTCTTTGTGTTTGCCATGTACTTCTATTTGTGCTCGTGTACTTCTATTGATGTTCGTGTATTGTACTTGTGGACCATCGTAATACGGTCGTAATTTCTTATATGCATGTACAATATTTGAACTTTATAATACTGATTTCACCAAAAATTTGTCTAATATTAAGTTAAACGCCAACGTGTCCAAAGTGGACGTTTTTGACGAATCAAATTTTCAAGAACTTTAATACAAAACACAATAGAGTTCAAACTTTCACCTCATTGAGTTAAATTAATGATTTTAAACATTTCATTTTCTTCGCACAAGCTGTAAAAATTGAGGATTTTAAAAAACTGCTCTCTCAGTTTTCGAGAATAATTTTTCTGAATGTTTTTACTTTCAGATAAACAAGACAATAACAAAAACATAGGCGTTGAATCACTATTGAAAAATTTTGGTGGAATAATAGTTTTCTGGGCATTTTTAAATTGTCTAACTTTTTGATACAGCCTGTATATATTATAAATTTTCAAAATGTGCTCTTCGAAACCTTTTTGTGTTGTTTGGTTTAGATTTTAAAAGTTTTCTCAACTTTATCGAACATCGTAAAACAATAAAGACGTGGCAGGAAAATAATAAATTGAAATATAAAAAGAGTTGTGCTCATTTTATCAATCCATGATCAATTATTGATAAATTATTGCTGTATAAATTATCACTTGTGTGTGTTTCTTGAAGTAAAAAAATGAAAGCGTGTTAATCACAGGATTAAAGAATTCTATTCGTAGGTGAACATTCATTAATATTGAAGGCCATAAATAATTCCCGCAGTAGCTAATTGGTGCAAATTAATTATTGTCATTTCAACATAATTAATTATTGTCATTTCAAGATATTTAAAATATTGCAGACCTTCGAACATTCACAGTAAGTTAGACCGTAAAAGTTACATGACGTTTATTGTCTGATCTTACGATTTAAATTCTAAATCTCCAGGGCTGTCACTAAAAATCTCAATCAAAAACAACATAAAATGACTGTTCCTCTGTTTTCATCTTAGTTCAACTTTACGTAAAATTTTACGTATAATAAACTTGCAGAAGTTTTTATTTCAACATAAATGGAAAGAGAGCACTTCAATGACAAACTGAGATATTAATGTTTGTGGTCCTAAACTAATATAAATTATTTAGTTTTATTTAATATTTGTTGTGCACTTTAGACTTACATTTAAGATGAAGCATTTTTCAAGTTTGGGACCCAAATCTCAAGGTTTGTGCGAGCAATGTCGGTTTTTGTTTTTTGGAATGAAATCATTCCACTTCTCTGTGAGAAGCTGTCGAAAATTGTGTTCTAATTAACCGATTAACGCAATTAAATCAATAAATAAATTGCTTACTGTTAATTAATTAATGAACGAAGAAAAAAGCAAAAATGTTACACCTCACAATATGTAACAATATATAGCAGTCATCAGTCCATTTTCAGACAGTTAACGATTCATTCATCATCTTTTCACATCATTCAAAGAGTAAAATCTATTGTCGATGTATAATACACAGGAAATGCACGGTAAGTGTATTTTATATATAAAGGTTTTCCTAGAGTCGTGTTAACGAGGATTGGAAATGGCGTCTGCGAAATACGACAAGGAGAGCAATGTTTTGCCCGAAATGGTCGTACCAGCGGTTGAACAAAGATCAAACGAGAAAAGCGATAAAGACACAAGACTAAATAAAATGGAATCTGCTGTTGTATCAATTATCGATGCAATTGGTGAAAATCCTTTTCGAGATGGCTTATTAAAAACACCACGTCGAGCTGCGGAAGCTTTCAATTTCTTTACGAAAGGCTACGAAGAATCGCTCGAAGGTAATACGATATCATAAATCACCTTTCTTCTATCAAAAAATTCTCGTACTCCTAGATTGGTCAAAATTTATTCAATTTTAGTAACATTACATTAACATTAAACAACTCTAGATCAACATAACCTACAATACAGATATTTCTATTTAAAACACTGCTGCATTGCTATCAATAGCTTGATGGCAAAGTTTAGCTACCTAAACAGTAACCACTTTGACCAACACACGTAATTGGTTTGTTTTTAATGTGAAATATGGTTTGGTGGGTAAGGTTGCCCAAGAATATGAATAGTAAATCTTATATGATGTACAAAATACACTTTTGTAAAACTTAAGCAGATTACACAGATCAGTGGTGGATCTAGGGTAAGTCAAAATAAATTACTGCAGCACATTTTGGTGTATGTTTACATTTCTAAGCCCTTGGAGGCATATCCATTGGTAAAATTATATTCTTTAGAAATTCAAAACCAATAATGTTTTTCTGAAAGTACTTTGAATTTAAAATCAAGCAGCTATAATTTATTTTGACTAACACTGGATCTGCTATTGATGGTTGGTGTTTATAATTATGTTTAATTTAATATGATGTGTTTATAATTATGTATTTGAAATTAATTATTGTTCACACCGACCCACCCCATGTACACCCCCCCCACCCCACATACACACCTCAACCCACCTACACACCCCTCTCATTTATCCTAGTGCATGTAAGTAGAACTATTATGTTATGATTAATAAGACTGTAGTGTACCTCCATTTGTTTGCAGATGAACCCATTAGTAGTTAGTAGCTAAGTTGGTATTGTACAATATACCACAAATATTGACTTTAACTTCTATAACACAATGTTAAATATGTAGAGATTGAAATAAAGTCTTATTGATGATTGTGTGTGGGGGGGAGGGATGATCTTTAAGTTTGAAATTTTATTTATAGATTATAAAATATGTCATTTTTAGAAATCATCAATGATGCTGTATTTGAAGAAGACCATGATGAACTTGTTCTTGTGAAAGATATAAACATGTTCTCAATGTGTGAACATCATTTAGTGCCATTTTTGGGCAAAGTAAGCATCTACTTTGGCCATTATTGCTAAAAAATTGATAAAATTTGAGATTTTTTGTGACAATTCTATTTCAGGTTGCAGTTGGTTATCTTCCTGATAAAAAAGTCCTGGGTCTTAGTAAAATTGCTAGGTATTATCATTGACTTTACATAGTGATGTACTTTTTTGGTGAATTTTGTTTGATTCCCACAATTAGTTTGAGGAAGCTCAAACTGATGTTAACTAATCGCATTTTATTTATCTCTCTAATCAAATCATTTCGTCACAAAATTCTTTGACAAGAACAATCCACCCTCATTTTGACAGCTCTAAATCAAACTTAACATAACAAGTTCCTTGATCTTATTATTTTTACAGGAATGTGCTAAAGTTCATGACAGTTTTGATCGTTTTTTTAATAACAAGAGTTTAACTTTGGATTTGCACTAAATCATGCATTAATAATTGGCATCTTACCATATTTTAATCATAGATGAGTCATGTCGTCTATACGTTTTTTTCCATAGTTGTAATTTTTGATATCATTTTGTTGCCTTAAACAACTGTAGAGCGAAAGATAATGCCAACAATATATACATCAAAAAATAATATGAAAAAATAACGACAAATGAGAAAAATATACTGGGTAAAAAACTCGTCAAAAAGAAAATAAGGTCACGTGGTATTTTGTGATTTGCGCTCTTTTTGGCGCCATCGTTAGCGCTTTTAAAATTGCAAAATTATTGCAGGCTCAGAAATACGAAACAATAGATAATCGATATTTGATGTCCAATATCATCGAATCTTTATTTTAAGCTTCGAATCGATATGCGTTATTAGATATTGATATTACTGGAGAATATAAAACACTTTATGGAGAAATTAACTCAGAAAATGTAAAAATAATCTATGTGAAAATGTTCGATTTATTGTTTTGGTAACTTTCAAACGGTATTTATTTAAAGTTATTTTTTTCATATCCGTGTATCACTAGTTTAATAAAAGATCATCACTACAATAATATTCACGTATTAAAAAGCATAATTGAAATTAATAATTCAATTTAAAAGAATAACAACTTTACCCTCATGATCTCATCTCTACTATCCGTAAATATCTAATGAAATATCATATATAGTTTTCAACACTTGTGTAACCCAGCTCATTCATTTGCACTGACGGTGGCATAAGATTACCAAAACATGTTTACATGAAAAAATTGTTTTTATATTCTCTTGAAAATGTTGTTTTTAGAATTGTCGAGTTGTATAGTCGTCGATTACAAGGTTTGAAAATCACATAACTTTCTATAACTCACACAGTTTTTTTCAACTTAAGCATTAAAATTGTAATTATGTTGTTGCACACTGAAGTTGGTTTGTCTGTGTTTTTTTTTCTCGCCCGGCTTCACAATGTTCGTGGTTCATTAAAAACCATATCTTGTAGTTGCTTTTTGTGTGTGTGTTTGGGGGGGAGGGGGAGGGCTGAACCTTCGAAATGTAATCCAACCGATAGTTTCGATTTACTATGTTTCATGATTTTTCTAGTACAAGAACGATTGACGAAGCAAATTGCGGTAGCTGTCGCGAAGGCAATCAATCCAACTGGCGTTGGTGTTATTATTGAAGCATGGTAAATATTTGTCTTGCTCCTGTTTTAGTTAGAACTCGCTTCAACACAGTTTATGCAAGAGAGGTATGCTTGGACGCAACTCCTTTACTTTAATCATGGAAGTATTTGATACTTGCATTATATATTATTCTTCCCATATGAATGAGACATTTTGATACTGTACCAGGTCTATCGAAAAGGATATACTACTGCGTATTTAGCAAATGAACAAATTTTCGTGTTGTTTCCTAGTCATATGTGTATGGTGATGCGAGGTGTCCAAAAGACAGGGAGCTCGACGGTAACTAGTTGTATGCTTGGAGTTTTTCGTGACGACGCAAAAACAAGAGAAGAATTTTTAAAATTATCATCTAGCAACACTTCGTTATTTTAATTTCGTTTAGTTTTGTGTCATGTTGCTCTAAATTAGCAAATGACTAGAGTATAGTATTGTCACATGTCTATTGATTTTATTTATACGATCCTTTTCTTATTAATACATTTACATGTTGTATGGACTCATATAAGAATCGTAAAGTAGTAGTTACTGAAGATTTTCTTCCGTTTCTTAATGTTTACCTTTATAATGTTATAAGGGGAAATAACGCTAAAGTTCAATTCTTTTCATAATGCTCTTGAAAATTTGAAACCGCCCTATGTACCATGCCAAAATTGTTGAATATATTTAAATTTGGTATTTAAAAAATGAAAAATATTTTCTTTGTTCTACACAGAAATATTTTGTTTTGTGAAAAATAACATTGTCACTTTTGGATATTTTTTAATACCTTCTCTATCTCTATGGTGTGATATGCTGAATGATATTTTGTAATAGTAAACTATTTGAAAAAGCTTTAATTTTTCATACAATACAAAAATTAAGATGCATGACAGAAACATTTTAGCATTTTTCACTTGGTTATTTTATGATGAGATATATTGCTAATACGTTCTATTCTCTCTCTGAAATTATTTTGTTGCCTGTGGTAAAATAACTTTGACTATAATCAGCAGGAAGCCAAAGACATGACTTATTTTCTTATCAATAAATGTCGCCTCGCCGTTTCTCAAAGGAATAAATATATGATAAATTTATTTTGCCCAATGAAAATGAGTGGATGACAAGATTTTGCTTATACGGGGATTGTATAAATAAGTTCTTAGTATTGCATTGTTGAGCTGTAAAGCTACAAAATATAACGAAAAATTAATTTCTAGTGCTGTTTTTTTTACTTTCGACTTTCTCGTTCCTCAGGGAAGAGATATGATGTAGGACGATATTTTATGAATCTACTGATTTATTGTATGAAGACTTTTCTTGTTGTAGTTGATCAATGTCGATATATTTTCAAACATCAAAAAGCTTTTTTTTCGTTTACCAAAATTTTTTCACGTTTGAAAATAGAGCGTTTTACCGTTGCATTTAGAACTGATTGATTTAAAACCTATAACATAATCACACTTTTAATTACATCACAGAACGTCGGGCGTATGCGTGCAATTTCCTCAGCAAAAGAATGTGAGTGGGTCGTGTAATGGCCTATATGTTTCATTAAGGTAAGCTTTAGGGATTGAATCACAATTTGAGCTTGCCGTTAGCGCCCACGTCTACTCTTTAGCCCACGCGCTCAGGGAGACCAGCTGCATGTCACAAACTAACTCCATATAAGACGCTTTCGCTTTGGGGTAGGAAGTACTTCTGTATTGCGGTTTTATACGTGACCTCTGTTCGATTATAAGCCTATATTTGTAGTCAACGTCGGCTGCAGTTGAAGTGTTGAATGAAAAAATGGTTTATTGGACAAAAGGTAAGTTAATATTTTCTTAAATCATGATTGGGTTAATGTTACCTGTGAGAAATATCGAGTTACAGTTGGCTGTGTGTAGTTTGTTTCAATAATACACCCGCAATCTCTTGTAAAAAACTTTTCAACCTCGATATGTGTTATGAAAATTACATATAACAGTAACAGAAAAATCTTCCCTGTCATTTAACTTAAGACAGTCCTTCTCTGACGATAGCAGGGGGGTGAAAAAAGAATGTGTAAGGCTTTTGTATGACGTCATGGTTACAAAATTTGCATTTGAAAAATACGAAGCATCGAGCGGAACTTAAAGGAACTCTTTTGTGTTGCGGTTATCTTCTTGTTGTTTTTGAACGAAGAAGGACGAAATTCTACTTTGAATGTTCTTACATTATGCTTGGAGATGCTGGGCTTGTAAAGAACCTCTTTGGGCTTAAGATATCTTGAATTCGAAGGAATTTGACTGTGAAAACTTTCTATTTTGCCAGAAAGACAAAACTGTCGGTTTTAAATTTTATGAACTGATTGTAATTATGAAACTGCAGTAGTGTTCAATTGACTCGAAGGAAGACAAGACACTGAAGTGAGAAATATTCAATACTTTATACTTTCCAATGTCTAGTATTGAGCGTTTTTATGTTCTCGTTATTTGCTTTGAAGAGTTTAACGTGTTATTGTGCAGTAAATATAAGTGTGTAGTTGGATGTAAACAACACGATTTGACTTGAAATGTTGAGCTAAACCGAAGTCTGTGGGGCTGCATGTACGTCATTGTGTGGGACGAAAGCTATATGAAGAAATGTTAAGTGCAATAAGGCTACCACTTAGTCGTGCTGTTATTTTAGTTTGACATATTTTAAAGATAATATGCTTTTGCTCTCCCTGGGATTTTAGCATTTCATTTTGAAAGTCGCTTTGTCAACACGGTATGGGGGCAAAACTTAAATATAACTAGCTGATAAAGAAAGTATTATTTTATGTTTGACTTGGGCGAACGAACGTGATGAAGATCATTAGATATTAGGAAGTTCGGTAAGAGTATAAAGTTAAGACTTATGAAAGAATATTGTATGATTTTCGAAATATTAAAATGAACCCAGATGGAGGGAAGAACGTGATCAAACTATATGACTCACTATGACATCGCAAATATCATAAGATGTACAATACAGCCGTTATTAGCCCAAACGGTCAACAGTCTGTTAAGTCGTTTTTATTGCGCTCATTTGTAGTTAGTGTCCTTCTGCCGTACAAAGAGCTGCAATTCACGTGTTGTAAATTTCAATGGACTTTTTTAAACTATTCTGAAATCATTGAATAATTATCGTTTGTAAAGACGAACACGTTTCTACTTATTTAGAAGAACCACTTTCATCCTCGCTACAATAATGCGTAATTATTCATTTCGTTTCTGTCTTTCTAGGCGTAAAAACTTCTGCGCAAGATTATATTGAAAGACGAAGCTTTAATATAACTATGAGACCAGCAAACGCATTCCGTAGTCAGATTCATACAATGCAAAAGTGGTTTACAGAATGGAATGAATGTGAACGCACAATTGCATTGTATTATCTTCTCAGACAGATGACTCCTGTTCATGCGAGATTTTTGTCCGTTGTTATGGAGCATCATTTTCGCGATCATAAATATCGTACCCAGATGTACGAAGAACAGGCTAACGACAGAGGTTAGTGAAAAATTGCTTTTGCCTTCCTATTTCTATGCCACTATTCTTCAGTTGTATTCTACATTTATTATACATTGTTTATTAAATTTTAAATCGTTATGTCGATATTTCAGTCATGTATATCAGTTTTTCAATGGACGGACTTTCGTGCGAAGTCGTTCGTTTTCATTTGTAAGGTGATAATAGAACGAAGTGTTTGTTGAACACCATGATGTGACCATAGTAACAGACTGAAGATTAGATAATCCCGGGGGGGGGGCACTCATCGTGGAAAAGATAAATGCACTACAGCATACACTCACGAATATTTTTATGCATTCTTTTCATCTATAAATACATGTATGTAGCAGCAACGTGTTGTTTGTTTGATAAGATGTTTCTATGTTTGTTGTGTTGTTTGAAGAATTCAACTTAATCCATTTTCCTGCAAATTTTGCAATGACTAATGTGTTTGCAAATGGTTTTAAAGCATTATTTAAAACGTTTGTTGATCTTACTTTGAAAATTTTGGTCACTTGAAATTATCTCAGAAACATGTCTGATTAGTTGTAAATGGATATCGAAAAGAAGTATTTGTATTAAAAGGGGTATTTATGTAAAAGAGGTAAATTTAATTAAATTGTGATTTAAGTTATCATTGCTGGTTCAGTCTGGCTGTAGAGTCTTGTTTGCCATTTATACCAATATTTTCATATGGTGGTAGTAAATTATCCTTGGTCAATTTTTATCCAAAATAAGAAGTATATTTTATGAAAATATATTAAAGTTCAATGAAATTGACGCAATCATAAAATGTGCTGCCGTTTAAGTTAGAGTGTCCAGTAATAAAAATATCTGTTTGTTTTATTTTACAATGTTAGTGCTGGCTATGTGAAGTAGATTTACAATGTGTAGGTAATGTTTTAGATTGCACGCAAACCATTACGTGGGCACACTCCTAAACTACTAAATATAGAAGTTTAATTAGCGTTGTTATTTTAGTTATAATCTTTATGCAATCAGATATTCAATATTCTATTTCCAATCCGTTAATCTCAATAACGCCCACCATCAATTAATGATTATTACCTGAAGATGTACTGAATAAGGCCGGTTTTTATAACAATCGTCAAATGAGAATAAAACAGCTGATTTTTTAGTGATAAAGTTGGGACGCGAGCGAGGGAAGCGTTGTCGCTTTTTTGCTTAGTAGCTTTAAAATTCAATCACTTTTGTCTTGTCTTCAATCACTATGTGGCGTTTATTGGAAGCTACATGATAGTTGCATTCTGTTATATTAAACCGTATTAATTTGTATGAAACAGCAATAAGATAGTAATTCTTTAGATTTCTTGGAAATAATGCTTCTATTTTTAATGCACTTGTGGACTTTAATCAAGCATTAAGTTTTTTGAGCACACATTTTTATCTATTTAGCTGTAAGGGAGAACTTCATGTGCGAGTAGATCTATCTAATGCGTCGGTCACGAAAATTTTCCCTCCAATTTTTTTTGTAGAATTTCTAATCAGTTTAACGTCAAAACCACGTGACGAAGTTGTGAAACAGTTATTATTACATCTGCCGCTTCTTCAACCGGGTAACCATTTAGCACGGGAGGAATATCTTAAAATATTACCTCTAGTATTGACGTATTCTCGGAGTCAACGGATACACGAGGACGAATGTCGTCAACTTCTCTCTCTTGCTCTCGTTCACCCAGCATTTCCTGCAGACGAAAGGAACCGCTTACAGCAATGGCTGGATGGCCATGAAAAATGTGTTGACGGCTTTTACGACGCAAAAGTTACAGCTGATTTTCCTCCAGTTGAAAATCCTCCATCGAGTCGCATTGGCACCTGGCAAAGACAAAGACTTGAGAAAAAGGATTCAGGTCTTGGGGGCTCTTTTGAATATCATCAACCGACATTCAACCCACCTGGTCTACCACCGCCTGCACATCAAGCTTCTACAGCTACACATTCTAAAGTGTTTAAAACCCACAGTCTGAACATACAACCTGAGCGAACAAACCAAAGTAACGGAGGAGAAGATGTGTTTAATGATCAAATAGAAATTGTGAATCGTCCAGGACGTTCGCAGTCCTTTCCTGTTGATCCACAAAAGTTCAACAAGATCCCATTGTCACCTCAGTCATCCATTGATAGTGAAACTGATGAGCCATGTAATGCAGTGAAAATAGGCAATTATCCAGAAAATCCAAATCCAGGAATGCGAGGTATGTATGGGAATGCGAGGTATATATGGGAATGCAAGGTATATGTGGGAATGTGAGGTATATATGGGAATGACAGGTATATATGGGAATGCAAGGTATATATAGGAATGCATGGTATATATGGGAATGCATGGTATATATGGGAATGCATGGTATATATGGGAATGCAAGGTATATATGGGAATGCAAGGTATATGGGAATGCAAGTTATATATGGGAATGCATGGTATATATGGGAATGCAAGGTATATATGGGAATGCGAGGTATATATGGGAATGCAAGGTATATATGGGAATGCGAGGTATATATGGGAATGTGAGGTATATATGGGAATGAGGTATATATGGGAATGCAAGGTATATATGGGAATGCAAGGTTTATTTGGAAATATGAAGTATTTATGTAGTAGGATAAGAGTTATAAATGGTTTATACACTAAAATCTATTTGAATTATGAAAATCAGTTCAGAAATATGAACACTTTTTTTCTCTAGATTACATTTTGTGGTTGAAAAGTCTTCGATTGCATAAGTATGCTCCTCTTTTCTCCAAAATTACATATGACAACATGTTCAATTTAGCGGAGAAGGAACTTGAGTCGAAGGTTTGTTATTGAATTGAACATGTTATACAAATGATGGTGAAAATTGCTTACTAAATATTTAACTCATCTATATTGTCACCATCACATATTTACTCTCTGTGTTTTTTTCAAGAATGTTACTAAGGGAGCGATGACGAAAATCATGTTAAGTATTAAGAAACTGAAGGAAAGATCTTATCAATTATCATGTTTGGAAAAGGTGTGTAGTTATATTGTCATTTAAGACGTCATGTAAGATACATGATAACAACATAACTATTATATACTGTACAGTAAACGTTATTAGTTTTATTTTACTTTCTCATTTTTACAGGAAGTCCACGAGGAGGGAAAACTTTCAAATGTTTTGGAATCGCTGAAAGCCATTCTTCACACTCCAATCAAGCCATTCTTTCCCTTTAACGGAGAAGATTTGATCGAAAATGGAAACACACCCTCACCTAGTCCTCATCCGGATGATCTTCCTTCACAACTTACCAAAGTGATTGGAAAAGGTATTCATCAATTCATTCATAACTTTGGTTTATAAACTGTAAAAATGCACGAAATGTTTTCAGATTTTTTCACCTCAGTTGATTTATGTCTTTTTGCCTTTACAAGTTAACTAATTTAATCAACGCTTGATAAAGAACTGGCAGACACTGTCCTGACTGCTATACATATTAGACTATTTTACATCGCCTTTGTTTCAAACTTTTACTCAGAGGTAATAATTTTATAATCATTATTGTTTTTCAGCATGCACACAACTATTGGTCTCAAAACCTAACGATGAGAATTTTTCTGTGTATATAAGTCTTTTGGAAAAGGCTTTAAATAAAGAGGTATAGAAAGTGTTATTACGTAGCTTAGCACATCACAATCTTTAACTTCTGATCTTGGAATATTTTAAATTTGAGGATTTCGCCTTTTCAATAAGAATTTGAAATGACAATTCGATCGTTTGCAGGCTTTTACTGCTCAGCAGAAGAAGCGACTTCAATCATGGAAACAACAATGTCTCATGTCTGCTAGACGTTTTAATCCTCGTCGTGGTTCACATGATCGTGGACGGTAAATATCACAAGTTATTGTAAATCTGCTTATTTTCCATTGTTTCTAACATTAAAAATATGACACATAAATTGTTCATGGTTGCAAGTTTTTGCAGTGACAAAATATGGCCATGTTATCATCTTATTATCATTTTATTTACCTTCTCATTTAGTTGGCCATATCATGGTGGAGACTCTTCCAACGTTGGCGTAAAAAGACAACGAGGTTCTCAGCGGGGTCTTAATAAGTTGGGGATTGGATTCAATACAAACAACCATGGTCCCGTTAACCCTGCAACAATGAGAAGTAATACGACTGAAGGCTATTATAAACCAAGGCAGCAGGTTAGAATACGTTTTTTGCACTTAATAACTTCGGACTGGATTAATTATCGTCCAGTTCACAAATTTTCACTTGTTGTATGTTCATATTATCATTCGGTTTTCTTCAGCTTCAGAAACATGCTCTAGTATCGCGTACAAAATCTGCTCCGATTCCTGCCTCAAAGCAAAGACACGCAATGTTAGGCATGACTCATCAAGGTATTTTAATCTTATTGCGATGGCATTCAAAGTACAAGCTATGCTTGCACTTTGGTCAGCGTGTGTCAATGTATCTAACGAGTGTCTGTTATTTTTAGCGTCAACTGACAGTGTCGAAGGTATTAATGATAGTTTGGAATCTCTATGTTGGAGTATGACTGAGCATGCGTTAGCAGGTAAATAAATTATATCAATTTTGTTCTTTAAAGGCAGTTATTAAGTTTTTATCTTTGTATAGTTTCCCAGTGTTTTGTTTTCTGTACAGCTACGATTATCTATAACCATAATTCTCATAATGTTGAGGATAATGCTTCGTAATATTTGTATATTGAAGAATTTTTTTGTTTTATTGACAATGGAATTATGAGTTTTCCTACTTTTACCAAAACGTTTTCATCATATCAATGAATGCCATCATGCCTAAATCTTTACAGTCCACCTAAGTATATTCTGTAAAGTAACTTGTTTAATTTTGCATAATTGTCTTGTTATCATTAAGTAAATTTGATGTTCATTTCTTTCTAGATAATTCAGATTGCTCATGAAGAATGGCAACAATGTGATTATTCACTTCTTGCAAGATACCTTGTCATTCGTTGCTCGTTATTTTTGTTCTCGTTGTCGTTATATTTTAAGTTCTTCATTATCATAGAGGTCAGATTATGTTTAGTTTTAGTTGTCGCTTTTCACGTGCGCAAACAAAGCACTTGTGAATTGTGATGTGGTTGTTTTTCACTGTCACAGTGGTCAGCGGATGTGTAGTTTTCAACAAACTACTTGTCATGCGCATATGTTTTGAGCGACTAATTAAGTAAAGGTTGTTTAATGAGGCTCTCCTTTGTAGCTCATTAAACTCTTTTTACCTTTACAAAGATCGACATTTTTCCTTAAAAGACAAAAAGTTACTCGGAAATAAGAGATTAAATCGACTTAAAATACCATTGTAGATTTTCGGACGCAAAATTCTGTCCTTTACATTAACGTTTTTTCTTCAATTTGTTAAAGCGCGACTTTGACAGGTTGACTTTTCAAAGTCTTTTTGTAACTATTCATTTTGAATGATGATCTTTTTGAGAAGTTGTGCGTATGGAGGATAATTTTGATTATTATCATCATTTCGTAAAAACTTTACTTTGCTTTCTTATATCTTTCTAAAAAGTTTAATTAAAGCTAAATTTCCTCCACCCAACTTTTCATAAAAAAATGAACCGTTAAACATGGGATTAGCTGGCTTGTCTTGAGAGACTCTCCCATGATCTTTGTTTAGGAAGTCATTCAAAATGTTTATCTTGTTTCGTGTTTATTCAATGCTGTTGGTGTGTAAAATTTGTAGTCATAGTCCTTTGTTTGCTCATATACTCAATAGTTAACTATTGACATAACATGCTCATATTCTGATCACGTGATCACAAATTGATGCCAATGGCTACTGACGTGCTGTGGCTTCGGTTTTGGTCACTCATTTATGAAAGTATCAACTATCAAAGTATTTAAAATAGTCAACAAAGTCTTGCAGCGTTGACGCAGCGAAAAACTCAAGCGGTTTGCCCAAGTAGAATACTGACGGAAACTTTTCCCACTAGATATTTTTTCCATGCATGTCTTTCACAAAAAACAAAGGGAAACATAAATATGCTTAAGATGATGATCAACCTCATCCTTTACGTCTTGAACTGCTGGACATTTTCGAACTTTTATTTAGATTTTCCCACTGACCTCAGTACTCTACCATTGGGTATTCTGCATACATTGAAAGCAACTGGATTGCATTGTATAATATATTTTCTAGTAAGAGCGAGTGGTTGATACACTCTCTTATAAATTGTACACTTTCATGTTGTACGAAGGTGATATACAATATTATGCTGCACTGTTCTTGTTTAAAAAAATCTCGTTCTTGCGACTGTGGATTCAGTTGAGTGAAACGACGATCGCTCTGGCCAGCAGATCGTTTGTATAGTATAGATATTGTTTTAACATTAAAGTCTACAAATGCTGCATTTATAAGTTAAAGAAGTAGTTATACTGTGAAACATATAATGGTTGTAGCTGCGTTATTAAACGTTAAAATATGTTAGAGTGTATAAAATAAAGTTTAGTTCATTGTTAACATTTTAGTGTGTTTGCGTAAAAATTTCGAGAATTGCTTGGAAGATAAGAAAATAGGAGTAATGTTGTACATTCAATACGAATGGCTATATTTGCTCAACGGAAACATTACAAACCTATATCTTACTTGGACGGTGATACTTCGTGCCGTATGAACGTCCTATTTTACATGACATAAATAATTTTTAAACATACTAAATAGATAAAATAAAAAAAACAACATGAATTTTCATATCGCAGTTTTATCTCTGAGGTGCTAATATGACGTCTGTTTCTTCCCTTCCCCCCGGAAAGTCCTCTAATTCGACAAAATCTTCCAAATGACGAAGATGAAATTTTGATATCTGGTTTCGTGTGAGCATATTGATGACCCTATAGCCTTGTACAACTTCTAAAATCACGAATATTGCCATGACAATATGAACAGCTCGTTCAAGGGGTAACACAATCGCCGCTTCGTTAAATAAAAGTAGCAAAGTTAGTGGTAGTTGTAAAAGAAGCGTAAGAAGCCAAAAACCAGCGAGCTCAGGAACCTAAATTGAAATTAAACATTGTTAAACATTGGGAATGATAAAATATAGCATGATTCTCAATTGTGCTCAATTCTTCCGGAAAAAATTCTCTAATTGCAGTATCGTGTCTTTGTAAATGATTATTATTTTGTTAACTTTTATTTATGTGCAATTTACAAGACGGGAATGAAAGACTTCACCGTTCACCTTTTCATTAAGATTTCCTACGTTGCCAAGATACAATCGGATCATTTCCACGACAACCATAATAATATAGATCACAATCAGGATAAACTTGTAGTACGAAGCGAGATATTTGTACTGAGGGGGGGAAATTAAAAATGATATTAATGTTTGAACGGGCTTAAAAAATTTTTTTTGAATTGCGTGTTGATTAAAGGGTGATAAATATTTATCGTAAGACATTGAAAGATAAGAAAAACGTGAAAATGAAACAACCTTGACGAAGTTTGTGGGACAAAAAGATTTTTTTACTCAAATCTCCAAGTGCTTTACAAATCTCATGTTACAATGGTCCTTATATGCCCAATTAATGAAGCACCAACGTTGTTTATGAGTTTTTCCAGTAAAAGAGGAAAGAAATGACGCCCTGTTCGAAAAATGTTTTGAGGTCGGGGGTGTGCTAGAAGGATGCAAGTCCAGATCATATTCTAATTGTTCTACTTTATAAGATTGTTATATCTCATAATTCTACCTTAAGAACGCATAAACTACATGAAGATGCAATCATAATCAAAGTAACCTTGGTAACGAGCATTGTTATGCTTGAAAAAAACCAAAACAATGAGAAATACGAGTTGAAATACAAACACATTTGCAACAGAAGATCAGACACCAGTTCCGTTCCTAATAAACGTAAAGATGAAAAATATCTGTAACATTTCCTTAATTAAATTAAATAACAAAAAATAAAACCGCAAAAAGTTGTGTTGAATAACTTGAATTATTAGTGTGCTGTTACCAGAGCCCAAATTCTTTTCTTTGAGAACGTGTCGTAAACTTTGTGATCCCGGAAACACGGTCTCCGTAACTGAAGTAAAAGCTCGCTGTACCACTGAAGACTGTTTTTCTGCCATACCAAGCTGTTCAATACTTAAGGTTCTATTCAATAAAAGACGCCATTTGCAATTGAATTTTGGATACAATTGCCATGACAATTACCCCCGATTAACCCCCATTGCTACCCCCCTTCCTTCCCTATCACCCCCAGCCTTCATCATATCCAAAATCTTTCAACTTATCAAAAATCTTTCAAGCCTTTTTTATTCCCCCTCATTAACAAACAGCAAAATTTTTCGCAAGCAACATGAGGCCTGATGTAATCCATCAACTCTGCATCGAAATTTTACAAATAGTTTGTGAAAGAACTTCGTTTTTTTTACAAAAAACATTGATTGTCCATCCTCATTCACCCGCCAGTCATTTACTTAAGTAAACAGACGAAACGTTTCTAGATATCTTTCTTGATACCATTTTATTCAAAATAAATGGTTTTATTTACACATATTCGCTGACTAAATGCGAGAAGCCTGGTAACGAGAAACCACAGAAATTTTCATTCAACGTTGGATGAAAAATTTACTTTATTATTTTATACTTAATCTTTCTTTATCTGTGGTCATTGATGTTATAATGCTTATAGGAATAGAGTAGGATCGTTTTTTATTGGTTTTGACTTATCATGGCGTATAAAGGACTGAGCTCAGAGAAATTTGAAGATTTGGGTGAAGAGCTTGACGTGTTATGTTCGGAAATTCAGTCTGGTATTGATAAAATACAGAGACTAGATGGCGGTAATCACTTTTTACTTTAAAAAATAATTTTCAATACTGTTTTTCATGGTTTGAGTTGTTCGACCTGCTCTGAAAACTCTATGTTGTCTGAATAAAAGAAGATCATTATATCACAAGACCAACAATATCACTCCTTTTAGAACTTAAAAAGCAAAAAATTCGTGAAGTACAAAAGCAAATAGAGGATTCCAAGATAATTGTAAGTCATTCTTTAAAATTAGTTAAATTGCATCTTTACTCACTTCGAACTAAAGGGTTTGACCTTTGATAGTTGGAAGAAATGGAAGAAGAGATTTTGATTGCTCCGGGGGAATTTCGTAATAAGATGAACACAACAGTTCGAAATAAGTCAAGAGTATTGGAAAAGCTGAAACGAGATATGGTATTATTTTCAACATATTATTCATACTTCAATAATACTGATGTACAAGTGAAACTTAGGTTTTCCAAAATTTATGTGTGAAGTTAATTTTGTGATTTTTAATGTCTAGAATAAAATGACAAACAGTTCTCAAACATCTTCAGCTAGAGATGATTTATTTTCAACAGGACCAAAACAGTTTGATCCAAATGTAAGTGAAATTTCTGTTCTGCAAGTGTCTTTTAAATCTTATTTCATATTTTAGTAATTGAATAAAAGAGATTTTTGAAAAGCAACATGCATCATAAGCTATTAGTTTGTATTTTTCAATAAGAATAAATTTCAGCGTATCTAAAAAAGGTCAGGACAATGCAAGAAATTTAAATGATCTTTTGATTACATGATAGGCTAGTCAAAGAAACAAACTCCTACAAGGAACAGATATCCTAAACAGGACCTCGGACAGTGTTGCAAGATCACAGCAAATTGCAGCAGAATCTGGTTAGTTGCTTTGAAAGATGAATTTAATCTGATTTTTTTATATTAATTACAATTGCTTTTTTAGCATCGTCTTTATATGATTTAGTTTGTCGTTTGAATTCATATCACAAAATTTACCATTTTAGTTTGACATGATCTCTGAATTGTTTGACTTTTGTAGAACAAATTGGTGTTGAAATCATAGATGATTTGGATAATCAAAGGGAATCTTTACTGCGAACTCGAGATAGGGTCATTATAACATTTTCATTGTTGTTTAGTTCTCTTTGTTTCATGTTGACACTGAATGTGTTTATAAATATGGTGACTGACATTTTATTAGTTATTGGAATAATGCATTCATATATGACAATGTGTTGAATGTATTTTATTCAAAAGTCATTGTCAGAAAATCAGAACATGAATTCTCATTTCTTGCATTTAGTTGCGGGAAACTGACGAAGACTTGGGTAAAAGCAGAAAAATCTTAAAACGCATGGCTTTGAGGTGATATTTTGGTTGATTTTATACAGAATGAATTTTAACTTTGGTGACTTTCAATGGAAGGGTTTTGCATTTGATGTAATGTGATATCTTGCTTATCATTACTTTTTTTATGTATATTTCAGGGTGGCAACAAATAAGTTGATCATGGGTTTGATAATTTTTGTTGAATTGGTAATTGTTGGTGCAGTTGTTTACATTCGATTTATAAAGTAACAGCTCTTTATAGAGAAAATATGAAAAAAGGGAAAGTTAGAATTCTAACTAAGGAATCTGGAATAATCTCAATTTGAAACAAATTTGTTGAAACATCAAGCAAAAAGAGAATGGAGATCGTTAAAATTTTCTGCTTGTGTTGTCATAAATTTAATTTATAATAGTTGTCAAGTCAAAGATAGAATTTTTCACAAATTATCCAAATCTTTAATCACCCTGAACTAAAATGTTTTGACCTACAAGCGATCACTCTAAGCATTTTTTCTGTCAACTGTATTTTACTTAGCCATTGTAATACATTTCACTCCTGCTGTTTTTGTTTATTGATTTATTTAATATTTCTGAACTATCATTATAATGATAAAGTATGAACTGTACACTTTCAAAGTTTGTATCACACCATAAATAATACACACAATATCTTATACCAAAATTTTCTTTCTCATCAACTTATAAAACATTTTTCTCTTGCCAATTGTAAATTGCCTTGGATGTTAGATAATTGTACACTTTTTTTGTTTTTGTCAAATTACCTCATGCTATTTTGATGAGGAAGTTGAATTTTCATTTTCAATAAAGCTCAACAGTCATTTGCTTTTAATTTTTGTTTATATTCTTCAGCATATGCCATATCTTCTGGCCTCAATGTAAAAAAACTTTTCTTTTGTTGGGTAACCCATCTTCTAATCTAAGTAAAATGATGTTGAAGATGAAATATCAACAAAAGCTTTTCAAATAAATACATTTAAAGTTTCATCCTCAATAACTTACAGGTTGAAAACAATGATCTTTAGCTTTGTACTCGTGGTAAAAAACCATGTAGAATGTGACAGCTAAAATTTTAAAAACATGGCAACTTTATGACATTGGGGAGTTTCAGAGAAAATCATAGGTTTAAATATATGTCTATAGAAGTGAGAGTGCAATCATCAGTCAGTGCATTTATACATTTCAAATGTTTAATTAGCTTCAGCATGCTCACCAAATGTGGCCACAGCTGTAAATATTTTAAAACGTTTTTCGTGATTCGGAAATATCAATGGTTTTTGTAACAGTTTTCTTTCCTCAGCTGGAATTTCATTCCAATTTTTTGGTAGGCCAAACGATGGTTCTTTTTCGGACATGTTGAATGACTGTAGCCGGGGGAGTTCAATATATTTGTATCGGTTTATGACATGTGACGTTTCTTGAATAATTTCAATCCCCCCTGTGTTGTGTTATGGCGAGCCTTAAGGCTGCTTTCCACTGTTGCGTTTTTTTTCCGTGCGTACATCCATAGATAAAAACGCACGGATTTTTAATCTCCAGTGCTGCGTTTTGCGTTGTGCATAAATTTAATGCGTGCTGCAATTCAAAATGGCGTCGAAAGAGGAGCGAAAATTAGCAATTCTACTTTTGCTTCGCCAAAGACGAAAACGAAGGAATAAATACAAAAAAAGGTTTTGGATTAAAGATATTTTAAAACGGCGAAAGAACTGGGGAATACCATCGGCTCATTCAAGAAATGCGGTTAAATGATCCTGAATCATTTTATCAATACTTTCGGATGACCCCTTCGCGGTTTGATTTACTTCTTGGTCTGGTTGGGCCATACTTGAAAAAGAATTCCTTATACCGCGAGCCTGTGAGTCCTGAAGAACGCCTCGCTGTTACTCTTCGCTTTTTAGCGACAGGCGACTCTCAACAAAGCATAGCATTCAGTTTTCGACTTGGCCATGCTACTGTGACCAAAATCGTAGAGGAGTCTTCCGAAGCTTTGTGGTCTGCGTTGCAACCGTTTATCAAGCCTCCAACGACAACAAGCGAATGGAAAAAAATCGCAACAGATTTTTGGCAGTTGTGGAACTTCCCAATGTGTTGCGGTGCCATTGATGGCAAACATGTAGTCATGCAATGTCCCCCTCGGGCTGGTTCGTCATTTTTTAACTATAAAGGTAAATAAGAGTTCTTAGATAACGATATACATTGTAAATTTGCTGCTTACATGTTGGACAAGTCAAGTGAAACTGCATGTTTGTGAATATTGTGATTAAGCGAGTATGATTTTTTAACAATTTTTTATTTCCATTTAGGAACACATAGCATTGTTCTGTTGGCAGTTTGTGATGCTAGGTACTTGTTTACTCTAGTGGAAATTGGCAGCTCAGGCAGAAATAGTGATGGAGGTGTTTTTGGTGAGTCTAAATTTGGAAGAGCCATTGAAGATGGCAGTTTAAAGTTACCATTTGCAGATCCTTCCAAATAAACCAACAGAAGTTTGCCCATATTTATTCACTGCTGATGATGCATTCCCCCTTAAACCATGGATGATGAAACCCTACCCAGGAAAATTTCTTGATAAAAAGCTCAAAATATTCAATTACCGTCTGTCACGAGCAAGGAGAGTTGTTGAGAATGCATTTGGAATCACTGCAGCTAGGTGGAGAGTGCTAAGAAGACCTATAATGGCTTCAGCTAAAAAGGTGGCAAGTATAACTAAAGCAGTCTGTGCACTTCACAATTACCTGATGTTAGAAGAATTCGGTATTCCTAATTCATCAAAAAGGTATTGCCCAGCTGGATTTGTTGACACAGAAGACAGGTATAATTGCTATTTTCTCGGTTAAAATAACTTAAATCTTGAGCTTATAAAATGATGTTTTTTCTCTTAGTATATTTTATCTTATAGTTACTATAGTATATGCAAGTTTTGAATGCCTGTATCTAATTTTAAGTCAGTTGGTTATGGTCTTATCATCTTAAGCATCTACCACTAGTCACTATATGAAATGTGCATGATAATACAACTAAATGAAATTGCCACAGTATTCGATAACCTAAAATGTTATAACTAAAGAAATTTTTATAGGTATGGACAGAACCTGCCAGGAGGATGGCGATCTTTGACAGAAGGAGACACGGGTCTGCAACAAATTTCACGACAAGGAAGCAATAACTATTCACGAAATGCCAAATCTGTGCAAAATTTACTGACAAATTATTTCTGCTCACCAGAAGGAAGTACCTTGGCAATATGCGTATGTGCAAAATAATGGTAGACAAGAAAAATAAACCTGTTTCTGTAAAACAATTTTACATTTATAATATCATCTTATTAATAAGTTGTATTTATTTAATTAGCAAATGTATGTTTCAACTGAACAAAGAATAATCTGTTTCTTACAAACATCAACGACTTTTCTAAGTAACTTGAAAGTTAGTTCAATAACTTAAGTTTTCCACTTCATTTTACTTTACATCCTTCTCATGCTAACTGTTTGTTGACATTGAAGAGATTGCTTCACTTAAAACAATTTGAATTTTACTCATTGCCTTACTTTTGCTTCTTTATCCAACAAATGTAGCTGAGCAGCAACACTTTTACCAAATGCATCTTCTATAGTTACCATAGCTGATTGATTTTGCAAGGATTTCTCACCACCAGATATATATTCCATGATTTTTACATCAAGGCCCGATCAAGTTGCTTTTGTGACATTGCTGCATAAGACCTTTTCTTACTTGGTTGTTTTGAAGCAACATTTTGAACGTTTTCAATAATCTCAAACGAAGGGAAAGATTCTTGAGAAAATGCCTCAATACCAACCGTTAAATCATCAGTAGAAGGTTCAGATGTGATGGTAAGTGGATCTTGGCATGGACTTGAAAGAACAACTGGTTGGAAATTGCTGTCCGAATTCTTTGTTCGAATATTAACATAAGGTTTCAGAAATGACATTGCCAAAAGGTATGGATAATGTGGAATTTCATCCACACCTGCTCCACTTTTTCCCATTTCCACTTAACACACGGACATATGAATCGCGTAGGTTTTCCAAATTCTGTCTCTGTAGTCGTTTACTGGGTCAAAAAATATTTTAGAATACACTTCGTTTATTACAACACAACACAACATATGCATTTATATTACCTGAATACGTTGATTGACAAGCTGCATTCACAGCATCAGTCACTATTTGCCACGCATTTTCCTTAATATTTTTGTTCTTATAGTTAGTGTCTTTTGTATTCCAAAGCGCTGGGTATTTTTCAATTTCTTCAATAAGTTTCTCCTCAACTTTTGTATATTTTCCCATCTTTTTTCAACTTGTAAATCAATTGGCAAAAGCATGCTTCATTGTAAAGCACGTGATCTGTAAATTCATTTTCATTGGATAATTGCTCGCGTTTTTCAATTTTGCTGCGTAAAAGTTAAGTTGTGCTCAACTTGTGCGTTTACGCGCTTGGGGGATACGTACGGAAACGTAAGGGTACGCGCGTTGAAAAACGCAACAGTGGAAAGCAGCCTTTACATCACAATAGAAGTAAATAAACGTTCAATGTATATTTACTTCAGTGTACATCACACGCATTCCAGTAAAATTCATTTATTCGAGGAATGGCTTTGCCTAATTGATTGTTTATACGACTTTTCATTAATTATTTTCTTCACATCCTAGAGGCATAGCCAACTAGAGTCAACTGCATATTCATTGATATCTCCCCCCAGTTCAATGGCTCCCCCCTCCGTGTATTTCGGCTAGGTTTTAATTGTTTTTACCAGTTTTTAGTTTTTACCTCTCGTGGTTTTGAAATTAAGTTTTGACTCTAATTTATTAATGCGAATTCACTCTTGGATACCAGAGAGGTGTTACATCACACAATTTCGATATTCTGTTTCATATTACACTTGTATGTAATGTATGAGTGTGTCTTGTTTTTTAACTCTTAAAGGACGCCAATATAATGTTAACGGGAAAGAAAGATATCACAAAGTTGATGGGCACTGCAATAAAGTAAGTAGTCTTTTAAAGGAGATAAAAGAAATAACAAATCATTCAAATATGTATGTGAACTCAATGTGTGTAGTGTACTATTCTCAATATTATTCTTGCTTATTGAACGCCATTTCCCTCCCAACCTCCCCCGCCCCCCATATATATTTTGTAATTATTACACTAAGATTTCTTTCCACAATAAAGAATTTCTAGGCTTGCAACTACAGTAAAGCATAGTCCTGGTAATTTCTATGATTTGGTTGTTGTTGGAGGTGGAATTGTTGGCCTTGCAACAGCAAGACAACTTGCACATCGTTATCCTGGAATGAAACTTGCACTTGTCGAGAAAGAGTCCGCCTTAGGTTTGTTTGCAATAACTTTGCTGCTTTATTCAAGTACTTGATTCAACCATCTTTAAAAAATCATTGCTTCTACAGGTAGCATTAGTTTTCTACAATTCTCTTGTGTAAATGTTTGCTTGCCTGCCTGCATTACCCTTAAATGTTTCATGGGATTTATATTCACAAGTGATTTAGCTTTATATTTAATAAAGAATAAGAGAATAATTAATTCTCTTAAAAAATGTGGTTATTTGCTTTAAAACAGGCCTACATTGCTAGTCTGTAGCATTTTCTGTTTTTTATAGCTCAGCACCAGTCCTCTCACAATAGTGGGGTGATCCACTCTGGAATATATTATACACCAGGAACACTCAAAGCAAAACTTTGTGTTAAAGGATTGGACATGACTTATGCTTATTGCAAAAATAATGGAATACCTTTCAAGAAATGTGGAAAGGTATGTGTTGCTCTGGGTGGAGACTGGACATTAATCAGTTATACATGAATATAATTTATATATTTTTTTAGCTTATCGTAGCTGTTGATGATGAGGAAGTTCCTAGACTATTGAACTTGTTTGGCGTGGTAAACAAAATGGTGCAAGAGATCTCAAGTTGTTGGATAAACATGAAATTGCCAGCATTGAACCTCATTGTGTGGTAAGGTAGGGGAGATATTGGCCAACATTGAACCTTATTGTTGGCAAGGCATGGGGGGTGATATTGGCCAACATTGAACCTCAATTTTTGGCAAGGCATGGGGGTGATATTGGCCAACCTAGAACCTCAATTTTTGGCAAGGCATGGGGGTGATATTGGCCAACACTGAACCTCATTGTTTGGCAAGGCATGGGGGGTGATATTGGCTAACATTGAACCTCAATTTTTGGCAAGGCATGGGGGTGATATTGGCCAACATTGAACCTCAATTTTTTACTGTGATAGTTTGTGGACAACTGAGTTGTAGTTTAAAAAATGTGTAATTGTGTTTAAGATTTTATTTTTTGCAGGGAGTTCGTGCCATTCATTCTCCTCACACTGGAATTGTGGACTGGGGCAAGGTTGCTTTATCCTATGGTGATGAATTTAAAAAATCAGGAGGGGATGTTAAATTAGACTTTGAGGTAACTGAAAAGTAATGTTATGAGGAGAATGTATTTCATGATTTTCAATACGAAATCAACAAATTTTTTTGCAACTGTTTTTTTCTATGCTGGTCAACTTTTAGTATGATATTTTCTTATTGATGTAGCCCTGACATTTTTTGATTCCTACTTGATTACTTTTTGTTCAAATATGTTCATGGCTAAATCTCTAACTCTGACGTATCCATTGACCACACCATTTAACTTAAACAATTTTCCTCGTACTTAGGTAATGACGTTTTCCAGCAGTAGATGTAAGTACATCATCGATTATGTTAACGTATTACACAATTTGCTCATTATTAAAGCACATTGGACATTCAATTACATGCTTTGACTTATCAATAACACTGTAGAAGATTCAATAAAACAAAAGAACAATCAAGAGCACTGGTTGATAATCAATAGCATTAATTTATGCTGCTTAACAACCAGGAATATTTAAGTAGAATCGATGTCCATTCAATAAAATCAAAGGAAGGATCTTTAAGATAAAGCAGACGTTCAAAGAAACACGTATGTAGTTTGTACGAAAGATTCCTAACCAAAAGAGATAGTCTGTCGCAACTGCAAAACCGAATTTCGCTGAATGGTGTAGTGGGCTCTTGTGTGTAGAAACAACTTCTTTTTTTAAAGTCATTATTCAAGACATTCATCATTTAACATGCTAGGTTTACACAATTTTACATTAACACACATCATTTAACTTGCTATGTTTACACAATTTTACATTAACGCACATCATTTAACATGCTAGGTTTACACAATTTTACATTAACACACATCATTTTACTTGCTATGTTTACACAAATAAAAATACCTTTTTTGTTACAAACAGTATAAATGTATTCGTGACTTTATAGATCGTGAACATCCTATTGAAATCACCTCAACACATGGTGATGTTGTATACAGTCGTCATGTTGTAACATGCAGTGGCTTATATTCTGACCGTGTGGCAAAGCTATCAGGATGTGATTCACAGCCACGTATAGTACCATTCAGAGGTGAATACTTGAAACTTTCAGATGAAAAAGGAAAGAATCTTATTCGAGGAAATATTTACCCAGTAAGTTTGATATTTACCTCTCTTTCTTTATAAGTTTTTTTTAAAATCAAGCAATAATATTTTATATTTTCTTTTTCTTCCTTCATGTCCCCGATCCTTCTTTACCTTTTCTTGGTGTTCATTTTACACCACGTATGGATGGCAGTGTTATCCTGGGACCGAATGCTGTTTTGGCCTTTGCTAGAGAGGGATATACCATTACAAACGTGAACATTAGGGATATGCTTGAGTCCGTGGCTTTCAGGTATGAATCGTCATTGTCTGTATATGTTAATGTAAAGATGTAAAGGCGGATGTTTTACGTCAGGAAGATGATTGATGTGAAAATTTCATGTGAACAACTATAATCAACCTTCAGTGAAAATAGTAATGATCGAAAGTTTTTTATGTTATCGTTTTACTGCAATAAAATGTTTGTATTATAATTTTAGCATCATTAAAACGTGCACAGAAGCTTTATTGAAATGTGTACAGCTGTTTCAACTTTTTTTTTACAGAGGATTGCGTAAACTTGCACTGAAGAACGTTCTGTTTGGTGTTAGTGAATTTTATCATGGACTAAATAAACGTGCTCAAGTAAAACGATTACAAAGATATGTACCAAGTATTCGCCATGAAGATATTGTTAGGTAAACTTTAGTGAATGTGTAATTTTTAAAGGAATATCGTGAGAACATGAGAAATGATTTATACGATTTAAATCTTTTGAGTAGTTTGGACAATTTTTATGTGTGTTTCTTATACACTAGGGGTCCAGTTGGCGTTCGAGCCCAGGCCTTAGACGTGCATGGTAATCTGGTGGAAGACTTTGTTATAGATCAAGGTAGCGGAGAATTAAGTGGTCGGTTATTGCATGTAAGAAACGCTCCTTCTCCTGCTGCAACATCTTCACTTCCTATTGCGGAAATGATTGTCGATGAAATGGAAGCACGCTTTGAATTGAAAAGTAGTTGACCGCAATGAATACTATTGCGGGCAAGGATGGATTTTAAATTGTAATAGAATCATAAATTTTTAACGTCATTTTTTCGTCCTCTACAATGTCTCCTAAGAATAATGAATTTAGAAATCGCCGAAAGAAAATAATACAATTTTTATAATGCAATTTGCCAATGTTACAGCAATTCAATGCGTAGTTCATTATATCTACTTTCAGTGTTTACCATTGACCTGATTCCAGATATAAGAATTTTTGAAGTATGTTTAAATTGAACACAAACAAAAAATCTAAGAATCTCTACTCTTGATTGTTTGAGTGGTGTGGATCGTAAATCCAACATGATAACCATACAATGATGTGACAATCCCTAGCGTAGGTCGCATGCATTGCCTTTCTTTTTAGTTATTTTTTAAAGCAATTCTCTAAATAAAATCTCTCAATTCTCAGAGATAAAACCAAGTGGATTTGAGTGGTAACCAATGGGTGTACTTTAATATAAACTAGAAAGCTATTTTTACCTGTAAAATTTTCTGCGCTCTAAATAAATGCACATATAAAAATATCAAAGCAAAGATCCTTTCCCCGAATTAGATTTGAACGGAAGCCCGTCAGTAACCTTGAAAAATTTTACTTCATAATTTTAATCACAACAAAATACTTCACACAAGATAATTTCAGAGTTATCGTAAAATGCCGTTTGTATTCCTTAAAGATAACTCTTGGATAGTCACGATGAAAGAAAAGAAAAGGCCGCTTTCTTTTCTTCGACAAGTTCTTGAGCAGTCAAATCCATTTTCTCACGGGAAATATCATCAATATTCAAATCAGGTACAACAGTCCACTCGCGATTTCCATCAATTGTCACTGGCATGGAGTAAATGATTCCTTCGGGTATACCATACTTTGAGCCATCAGAATATACTCCCATTGATACCCATTTACCCTAGGAAGCATAGAGTATTTCTTACAGTTACAGTGTATCCCACCATTGATAGCCATTTGTCCTTGAGACCAACGGCCATTATTATTAGTTGAAGCCAATTTAAGCGGCATTAAAAATGCACAAGACAATAGACATAGATTCTGGTCAACATACCTCTGATGTTCCAAACCACCAATTTTTCATGTGATCACAAATAGCATTAGCAGCAGACATGGCACTGGAAAGTTTGCGAGCGGCAATTACAGCTGCACCTCGCTTTTGAATAGTCTGACAAATAGACAATTTATAGCATTTTACAAATACAGTTCTTACTCTCCCTGCCTTTCAGACACATTCATAGATATGCATTTAATAATACAATGCTAAGGGGCATGACATGTTTGTAACTGAGATAAGGAGTTCGAAGTACAATTACCGTAATAAAATCACCATTAAGCCAGTTGTCATCATTAACCAGACTTCTGACCGCTTTATAATTAACTCCATCCAGAGAAGCTGAAGCATGATTTACATCAGGGTACTGGGTCGAGGAATGATTTCCCCATATGGTTATATTGCGGACATTTTCAGCGCTAGTCTTGAGACGCAATGCAATCTGAGACACAATTAACATATTATTTTGAGCATTTGACCGTCGTCACATCGTATCTTCTTTGCAAAAAGAGCCTCGTTAACATTTATTTAACGTTAAATTTATTTCATGTACGTATTGCACGTCAGTATTGGTTCGTTTCACCCACGTGTTGGTTCGTTTCACGTACTTATTGGTCCGTTTCACGTACTTATTGGTCCGTTTCGCGTACTTATTCGTTCGTTTCACGTACTTATAGGATGCTTTCACGCACGTGTTGATTCATTTCACGAACGTATTGGTTCGTTTCACGTACTTATTGGTCCGTTTCACGTACTTATTCGTTCGTTTTACGTACTTATAGGATGCTTTCACGCATGTGTTGGTTCATTTCACGAACGTATTGGTTCGTTTCACGTACTTATTGGTCCGTTTCACGTACTTATTCGTTCGTTTCACGTACTTATAGGATGCTTTCACGCACGTGTTGATTCATTTCACGAACGTATTGGTTCATTTCATGGTACAGCAATCAGCAATGAAGCTTAATTACAAATGATTGAATGGTAAGATGAATTACGTTTCATTCATATACCTGAGCATAAGCACGATTTTGATCCAGTCTGGTGAGACAGGAGAAATTTTTGTCTGGAATACTTGGAGCAAAATGTTTTGCTATGCAACAATTTGTGTTTGCAGGATTACCAACGACTAGTATCTAAAAAAGAATAGTATTATTTACAAATTATCATTTTGTTCATGACTTTTTTTGTCAAGCTGTATTAAACTGCTGTTGGTGGCAGGCTGCAATGTTGTACAAAATAAAAACTATAACAATTTCATACCACTCTGAAACTGTACCTTGACAGTTTTCTTGGCAAATTGCTCCAGAGATTTTCCTTGTGATTCAAAAATTTTTGCATTTCTTTGCAAGAGATCTTTTCTTTCCATGCCTTCTTTACGAGGAAATGCACCAACCAATATTGCAGCATCAATATCGCTAAAAGCTACCTTTTCATCAGCTGTGGGGATGGTTTCTACAATATAATCACAGGTAAAACTTTAATGTCTGAAGTTGCTATAGGATTTCATGAAGAAATAACAACTAAAAACATTACATGTGTTCACGAAAAGATAAAAACATGAAAATCTGCAGTAGACTATTTTAACCTTTCAATAATGGGAAAGCACAATCTTGAAGCTCCATGCAAACACCATTTAATGAGCCAAGCATTGGTTGAATGTCAAGAAGAGTTAAGACCAATGGCTAAATAACAAAGACAAAGTTATAGCAAAGATATGATGTTCAACAATCTCCGACAGGAATTTTGGAGAAAGTTTTGATGTGAGATCAAGTTATTTTCTTATATGTGGCTATTCTATTTCTGTGGTATTGAGTATTTGAGCAATACAATTGAATTTAAAATTATTCTTATGAATATGTATAAATATTATACATGAAATAATGATCATAAAATAATCAACAGCAATAGACATTATCATACCTGATCACTACCAAAAACATCTCCTTTGGCAACTGAATATACAAGAGTATGCAATCTGGCCAGCAGCTCCAGTAATACAAACCTTGATTGGTGCTTTAGGCTAAAGAGATGAATGTACATAATTCTTTGTTTATGGTCAAAACTTGTACAGTTTGTTTAAGTTAATGCTCATCTGTTAGTTCAAATGTTATTGAGTATGCTTATCCATAAAATTTGTGGTTAAAGACAATAACTTATGATGGATTTTTAACAATACAGAAGTTGTGTGTTGCAAATTGAATTGTGAAATTTGATTTGGTTGCCTGTGGCAATTAACCGCACGGCACTTAAACCATTGACTAAACTTAACTTATCTGCGTTTTTTTTTTAATTTTTGCATGTGGTTTTGTTGAAAAATAGTCAAACTAAAAGCATTCAAAGAAGATGAATTGGAAAGATTCTCCCTGCACGAATGCACGTATATTTTAATTTTTTCTCAGCATGTGACGTGGACATGGTCTATTGGAAATTCTTGCGCAAAAATATGAACAAATAAGTTACACCTGCACACTTCCATCTTTCCATGTTACAAAGAGATAAATATAAGCAAAAAACGTACCATGATTCCGCTGAATGTTATGATATCCAGCAAACACAAATAAATTTATCTTCTCCGCAAAATTTATAAAGAACTGTGTCAGTAAGGTGTTTCTGTGGGATGTCCTAATTTATCCCTGCCACGAGTACAAAAAGTACAAAATTAATGATAGTGATGATGTCACCCGTTCAATTCATAGATATCCCAGATCTATAACTATTCATTTTTATCGCCTTTCAGCGGTGTTTGAATACATGATATTTTGTCTAAATCTCTTTCACATTCAAGGTTTTATGATTCGTTCAATTATTTTATGTTTTTTTTTCTGTGGGAACCAGAATTTATTGTGGTATTTTGATGCTAATAGCTTTGTAATGCTATGAGTAATGCCTACCTCCTACCACAATTGTATCCTTAGGTATCCCCCAATATCACGATTTGCCTGCAAATTTGCCTGATTACAGGGTGTTTCATAATCATTCTTTCTTGTCTTTTATAACAAGTCTAATTCATCGACGTTTAGAAGGTAAAGTATTTTACTTTAAAACCTTTTTTCTTTATTTTTAGAGATAGGAAATTGTAGCAGTTTCTTGTAAAAGTAATTGAAGAAACGTTTTATGTGATTGACTGTCTGTTTATGTAATTTTTCTCGTAGATTATCCGGCATTTCAAGTCGGACACACGTGTGAAAATACACAAGCGTATATTTTATCATAGGACTTTGACCACTTTCGAAGTTTTTTATGACGTTTTTGTGCAATAAAGGTAAGCTAGGCTAGTCTTATTTCATATTATATACTTATTTTCCTTTTTCTATATTCCTAAAGTCATTGATGTGTTTGAAATTTTTTGTTAAAACCGGATATAAAAGAGAAAATAAATGTCGGCCATTTTGTTTCACTATTTCCTGTGAATAATTTATATTGAAATTCTTATGGAAAAAAAAGTTATGAAAATATGCTTCATTTTTGTCTTATTGGCTATGATCTTTTTAATTGTTTTGACTGGAACAAAAATCTTCTAATGTCTTAGTTCACACTTATTTTGGGTGTATAATTTTGTGAGAGCACAATATTCGTAAAACATTTAAAATACACGACAAATTTCTTTAGAGCAAACATGTTTCAGCATCAGTGTGCAAATTAACGGTGTGCAATGTGCAATTTGCACATCGTTTTAGCTAAAATGAAAACAATTGTAAATCACTTTTTCAAACGATATGCAAAAAACATCTTTATTGATTTCTACCACATAAATTGAAAAAGTGTTCAAGCTTAATCTTTACTGATCTTTACTTTATAAATGATTGCGCTGCACGACATTAAAATCCATGTTGACACAATGTCATCATGTCAACAGTCTGTCTGTCAACAGTCAACATATATGGTGCTTATATGCTTATGACAATATAACATTATTAATATTAATGTAATACATTATTAATGTCAATTTTGGTATTTGCGTTGTTTTCTAAACCGTTACATACTGTCTGTGGCATCAGCTATTTTGAGTATTTTCAGTAAAATCAGAAAACATTTTGATTTTGATTCTTAAAAGACGACAAAAAAACTTAAATAAGCCAAATCTGAAAAATAAACCAAAGGGAATTTTGATAACGTGAGAAAAAGAAGCCAAATTTGATTATGCCTCTAAAGAAACACTTTAGCCAAAAAAAATTGCACATCATTTTTTCTCAACTAATTCGCACAATGTTCAGCATACTTTATGCCATCTTTAGTGCGAACTTTAGTGCGATCAAAGTTTACAAAAATTTTTGCATGCCTGAGTTTCATTTTTGCTATTTTTTGCATGCCTGAAAAGGGACTTTTGCACTATATTTTCACGACAAAAATTTACTTTTTCGACAGTTTCCATGAAAAAATTTTGATACTTTTTTTTTTGAAATAATATTTTTTCAAAATTTGTGTGCGTATGCACGCTCATAGCAAAACATTGCGCACCCAAGAACTAAGGTGCTTATGATCGTGGAAGGTTAACTAATTGCAAAGTGAATTTTGTAAAATTGCAAAGCTTATTTAGTGTATAGTTTGCTTTTGCAAAATTATTCTTTTTTTTGCAAATTAAGAATAGCAAGCTGCTAAATCAAACCTTGTATGTAAAGCATGTTTTAAAATTTGTTTTTATCTATATGTATAGGAATTGTTATTCCACAAAAGAGGAAAATTTATTTACAAAGCTTCCACAAGGCAAATTGTGAATCCCAGGAGACTACTGGGGACAGAAGTTGTATGAAAAAGTTCAAGAAAAAGTCTAGTTTCCAAACATTTGATCACAAATTGTGCCTGTCCAAAAATAGTAGAACATTTTCTATAACAAATTCACAATGTCTCTTGTTAACATTAATCGCAAAAATGATGATCCATTTTATCGATATAAAATGCCAAAACTTCTTGCCAAGGTGAATATTTTGTGTTAGAAAGGTGTACATGAATAGTTGGTTATCTGAATATGTTATCTATAGTTAAAAAATGTTTAATTTCAATCACATCGCAAGTTCTTTCATGTTGTAACCTCTTTATAAACAATGATGTTATAGGTTGAGGGTAAAGGGAATGGTATAAAGACTGTAATTGTTAACATGGTGGACATAGGAAAGTCATTAAACAGACCACCTGCATGTAAGTACATTATTTAAAGTCCATTGTGTTAGTGTGATGTCTTTGTGGCCAGGAGTATTATTCATTTATTTATAGAGGGTTAATTGATACGGCTAACAGCATTACAATTACATATGATATTGCAGACCCAACCAAGTTTTTTGGCTGTGAGTTGGGTGCCCAGACACAGATTGACTTGAAAAATGAACGGTACATTGTGAATGGTGCTCATGATGGTGAAAAATTGCAGGATATACTTGATGACTTTATTCAAAAGTTTGTTCTTTGCCCAGCTTGTGAAAATCCTGAGACCAATTTGGTATGTTTTTGTTTTAAATCTCCTTTATAGAAGTTTGCAAATTATATCATCTCTTATTACAGGAATAGAATGTTTTTATTAAGTATAATGTCTCTTGACGTAATTCATTTAGCAATTACATATATGCGCTTTTAATATATACAAGTTTTTTAAAAAAACTCATTGTATATATTAAATGCACATTAGCAATAGTGCTTATTTGAAATTATGGAAAAATGACATATATACTTTTTGATGTAATCATCCTTCATTGTTCATTAAGCTATGAAAAGTTTTAAAAATGGTGAAGATTTAACATTGGAAAAAGCTTTTTCTTGTTCTATGGTGCAAGATTGCTATGAAAAATGGCAATGTGGTGTTTTTATTCTTTATTCTACTTTGACACACTAAATTATTTTTGATGCACTGCTTAACATTAAATTTTATTCTTTAAAAATTCTTCAGTTTTATGTGACCATTTCAAATATTTACAGCATGTTGAAGCAAAGAAGGAAAAAATTGGTCAGAAATGTGTTGCTTGTGGTTATTCTGGTGTGATATCTTTGACTCATCGTTTGATCACATTTATCCTCAAGAATCCTCCTGGACAAGAAGAAAATTCTACCCCGTCAAAAAAGTACGGATTACTAATAAATCTTGAAGAATTTCATTTTTCACAAACCGTGCATGTTTGTGGAATTGATGAATAGTAGATTAAAATTTATTAAGATGTATGAATGTTTTTATCTTTATGTAGAAATCTTACACTTGGCTTCCTATTTGACATTGAGATGAACTTTATAAAATCTAGATGATTATTCATTATTCTAACTTGACTACTTGAGATATCAACAGTAATTACATAATTGACATTTTATAGGGACAAGAAAAATCGACGTGACAAGAAAGGGCAAAACAACAGCCAGACAAAGATGCAAAATGGTAATGCAAGTCCTGGTCATGAATCTAAAGGCAGCAAACCTGTTGCTGATGCACCATCTGCTCAAAATGTATGTTTTAATTGAAGCATTTTAAATCTTTTTTGTATGACAAGTTCATAAAAAGTTCTTCTCATATTCTGAATGCGGTGTATTGAAAGCAGTGGATATTTTACTTAAATAGGATAATTTTGGTGACGATGATTGGAGTGAGGATACAAGTGAGGCAGCAGTAAAAGCTCGTGAACTTGAAGGATTGTCCATGCGTACTAAAGGATTAACAATGACAGATGATCTTGAATTGACTGAACAAGAAAGGCTTCAACTTTTCTACACTTTTGTAGAGGTACATTTTTTATCTATCCTCTATCTTACTAACTGCTCAGGAAGTATTTTATTTTCAATCATTGCATAAAAAATGATCAGAGATTTGCCAGGCAGATAGCGATAGCCTAGCAGCGTATGACCTTTAACGGAGCCATTACAAAAAAATGTATTATGTAAAATGTTTTGTATTGACGTCCTTTCACCTTTATATAAAGTCGAGTGATTTTTTTATTTTAAGACTTAGGAACATCTCCTGTAACAGGACAATCATTTTCTTCTCTATTAGGCATTCAGTGTTGACGCAGTTAAGTTATGGAACAGCCTTCCCCATGATATCAAAAAAAAGCCTAGTATAAATCTATTCAAAACAGCTGTGAAAAAGCATTTTATAAGCTCATATAAAAACCTGGACAACTTTGAAACAATATTAAGCAATAGCACACTACCTAATTTTAATTTTAATTTTTTATAAATTAATTTTATCTTTCTGAATATTTTTTATGTGTCCTGCTATTTTTATCATAGAATTTTGTAATTATTTATATATTTATTCATTTATCAGTTTTTTTTTTGTAATGCTGTATAATCTAGTTAGAGGGCCACAGGTTTGTCAGCTTTTCAGCTGTTACGTGTCCCCCTCTTCAAATAAAGTCCTTATTATTATTATTATTATTACCGACTGCTATTCTTTCTACGCAATGTTTGTCAATAGAATTCTAAATGACATTACTGTGCATTTAATATAGACGACCAGTTTTTTGAAAATAGACATGTTTTGACAGCTTATGATGCCATCTTTAATATAAATGAATAAATACATAAATGATACAGAGTTTTATAAATATTACTTTTATTCATTCACACTCAAGATGGCATGGCATGATGAGATGTCGAAACATGTCTATTCTCAAAAAACTCGTCGTCTACATTAAATGTACATTTGAAAATTGTCTGCTTTTTTTACTCACCCTCTTATGCATAGAAGCGACACATGTCTTTTCAAAAATAAAATCTATTTTCTTTAAATTTTCTTTAAATTCTATACCACAGAATAAAAAGAAACAGAACGACTTTGCATCCAAAGCCATCGTTGCAGAAGCCGAACGTCTTGAAGTCAAGGACAAAGCTGTACTTATTTTAGCAGAATTGTGCTTCGACGCAGACATGGCCAGCCAAATATCCAAATATGCACCTCTATTCAAGAAGGTACTATAAGAATGTAACACTAAGTATCTTGCAGCGAACATTATTAAATTTTGTTTGTCGAAAATGATTTTAATTCTTTTTAAAACTTGTTTTAGTTCTTAATCAACAATCATAAGGCACAGAAGCATCTTTTGGGTGCTTTCGAGATACTGGTGGGAAAATCGTTCCCAATAAAACTTATGGTTAAAGTTCCTAGACTGCTTCAGTTGCTCTACGAGAAAGATTTTGTTGATGAAGAAGTTCTCTTGGAATGGGCGCCAAAAGTAGGTTTGCTCTCTTTATGACAAGGTTGAGATAAAGATAATATCTCATCTGTCGTAATTAATGGTAGATCTGTATTGTACGTATCATTCTTGTGTCATACAAACTTGTGTCATACAAACTTGTGTTCATACAAACGGTATCCATTTTCAAGCTATTAATGTCTTAGATTTTTTTTCAAGGTTTCCAAGAAATATGTGAGTAAGGAAATTAGTGGTCAAATCCACGAAAAAGCAGCACCATTCATTAAGTGGTTACGAGAGGCCGAAGAAGAATCAAGTGAAGAAGAAGAAGACGATGATGTTGACGTTGTGTATGCTACAGCTGTCGAAAAGGAAAAAATTATGGCACAACAAAAATTGAATGAGTCAAAGGCTGAAGAAGATGATGGCGATATTGATATTGATGATATTTAATTTTAAAGCTTTTTGAAAAATTAGATACAAACACTTTTTGATTTACTATTTATGATTTTGAAATGTATGCGTGATATCGTTAATATTAAGATTGTTCAATTCATTGCACTAATTTTCATCTGACATGTTGTTAATCCTGTTTTTAAAAAAATGGCAAATACTTGCAGAAAAGCTTTAAAGCAGTTGCTTATTTTTTAGGCCTTAATGTTAAATATTATTTACAGTTAAGTATTTTGTAACAGGGTAAGTAGATAAAAGATATTATAAGTTATGTTGAATTTCAAAAAACTGGTATTATATGATTAATGCACAACTGGGCCAGTACTTTCTAAGGTTACGTCCCTTCCCCCTTTCTCACCCCTCACATTTTTAAGATGCCCCCTGGCCCTTCTTGGTGAGTGGGGACCAGTGGTGGGGACGACGAATGACAGTGATCAAAGGTCTATTTTCCCGTATGTAAGAACATATTGGTGTTGAACATAGTTTGTTCAATTTGTGAATACTTTATGCTTTATAGATTGAACGTGAAAAGTTTTTGGTGATTTCAAGCGTAGTAAGTAAATATTAGCAGTAAGATTCCACATAGGAGTGCAAAACTGCGATATTCGTCGAAGTAGCATTAAATGTTCGACTCTTTTGTAGTACAACATGGCAACTACGAAAGGTAGGGCGCTAATAATTTTAGCTGAAGGTGCAGAAGAAATGGAGACAGTAATAACAGCAGATGTGCTTCGTCGTGGAAAGGTCGCATTTATTAAACGTTAATAGCTGCAAAACGTACGTTGAATTTAGATATGTTTATAGGTTGATACGACCATTGCTGGGTTGAACGGAGAAGGTCCAGTTCAGTGCAGTCGTAAAGTTGTCGTGAAACCCGATTTAAGTTTGGAAGATGCGCACAAATTGGTATGGTTTGTATCAATGCAATGCATTTTCACTATCTTGGAAATTGACCTTAAAGTTCAGATAAACACAAACCAAAGACAGGTTTTATTGTTGCATTGATGTTATGGAAATATAAAATACGAACAAGGTGTTTTAATTTCAAGATAAAAAAGGAAAACCAATCATTCAATGTCACTATTTGTAGGCACCTTTTGATGCAGTCATTTTGCCCGGGGGACTTGGTGGAGCTGAAAGATTGGGAAAGGTATTTTGACCAAGTAAATTCACTTTAATCATGGAACTTGTTGGCTTTTCTTGCTTTTATTTGTAGTCACAAAAAGTAAAAAGTGTTTTACAAGAGCAGGAAAAAGCGGATCGCATCATTGCTGCTATCTGTGCAGGTTGACAATTCATATCTTCTGCAAGATATTGTATCAAAAATTGAGCAAATTCTTCCATAACTTAGGTCCTACTGCTCTTGCTGCACATGGTATTGGAGTCGGTAAAGCTTTAACATCATATCCATCAGTTAAAGACAAATTCAAAGGTTTTAATATATTTCATAGTGATAGTTGTCTAGAATGAGATTATTGTCCTAATAAAGACACAATACAAGTATACCTTGAAGTTTGTAAAGAATAAAGATTGGACATCACTTACACTTATGATGAAGACACAATTCAATAATCTGACCATAATATACATACAGTATTATTTACAGCCACTAAAATTTCTTTTTCAATAGATTACAAATATTCTGAGGACCGAGTATGTATTGATGGAAAACTTATAACAAGTCGTGCACCAGGAACTGCATTTGAGTTTGCTATAGAAATTGTAAGAGCTGTCAGAGGAGACGATGGAGTTGCTGATGGTTTAGCTGCACCAATGTTGTTGCAATAACAAACTGTAAGTACACTCTATATATTCACAGTATGTTTTGCATGGATCAATTGACACAAAAGATTGCTTTTAGGTATATTTGCTCACGACTTACATCACATCAAGGTAAAATACTATGATAATTTAACCATAGGCATACTGGAGCTATCATTTCAGGGGGGGGGGCAGTAAACATTTCCCCCAACTTACAAAGGTTCTGTAGTATTTTTGCTTGACTAATGTTAAATTTGCCAACTTTTCAATCTTTAAACTCCCCCCCCCTCCGTACGCATATGAATTCAACACAAAATAATCAAACATTCAGTATTCCATCAGCTATGACCAACTTACATCTTCTTTATGTCTGCATCATAAAACTTCTATAAACAACAAATACAAAACAAACAGAACATGAAATCAATTAAGACATAGCATTGTTTGTAACTACACACCTTAGTATGTCTGGTAGATCTTTTGAAATGTAGATTCTTGTATGTGAAAAACCAGTAAATTCTTTAAATTCAATTAATTGACCTGCTGTTTTATGATTCATCGCCTCATTATACAACTATATAAACACAATAAAGACTAGCCTTTTGCTATAATGTACTGTTGATATGTGAAAGTGAGTAGAAAACTTGGTTAAGAATGATGTAAAGACAATTTTTTAGTTGCTCATACACACGAGAATTAAATTTCATTATTACCTTTTTTCCTGAAGCAAATTTTACGATAATATCATTATGATCATGCAGGAACAATATGTTATATTTTACTTCACGAATCCTAAACAAAGAAAAAATTCTTAATAAGAGTTTGATTTACGAAAATTATATATATATTGCATTATTTCATGTGAGAACTTTAATTGCCACATTTACTTCAACATATTTATGCATATGATCTAGTCACCTTTTTATGTAATTAAATTATAATAATTGTATAATATCTATCATTACATACTTTTCGTCACTTTTAAACATCTCATTTATTTCTTGAAATGCATAAGTGAAGTATGGCAAAAATCTATAGGGCTAAAATATTGGAAATTTACATTAACATAATTCTATGAAAAAGAACAGTAAGCAATGTATCATAGATTCTTGTAGCTTTCAGCTGTAAACCTTTCACACAAATTCTTATATGTATTGATATTAAAGAAAATCTAGCATACTGTAGCCAGAGGATGGTTAAATGCGGCGTCTCTCATGTTTATAAATGGCGATTCTAGTATCAGTCCTTTCACGTCAGTTTCTATACATTTATGTCATAAAAGAAAGTGTCAGAAAAAGAAATGTTGGGTGTTTTTTAATTTTGCAAAATGCAAGTATCTACAAAATTTTGTTTTGTCTTGTCCTACCTTTTTTGGACAAGATATTTGATAACGCTACTGCCACTCTGAATTTAAAATAAATTTAACTTTGACATGTTCATTAAATGTTTCAGTTTAAAGTTTTATAAAATCATTTGAGGTGTTCTTTCCCAATAATACTACATACGTACGCTGATCCTAAAGAATGACCCCAAACAAATATTGGTTGGTTTTTTGTATTCAATTTTATCCATTCAAACATGACTACACTATCCTCTATTAGACCTGAAACATTTCAAAACATGACTTATCAGAAAAGACTAAGTGAACACTGAATCATGAATTTATTGAAAAATGTAATAGCACCTATTTTAAAGATGTGCCTTTTTAAAGTTGTATGTTTCTCAAAGTTACACATTTCTTTAAAGTTGCACAGTTCTAAAATGTACATACCTTTCTCACTAGGTTTGCCATCAGAGTCACCATATCCTGTAGATATTGAATCGTGTCAATGTATAATTTATTTAAATATATGTGCTTGTCTTTTACATTTGCATTTGGTGTTAAAAAAACATTTTATTTCATTTCAAGAACTTTTTTGTTGCAGTTTTTGTGAAGGTATTCGGACCAGAGATATTTTTACTTTTCTTCTTGATAATTTCAAACATCTTTGTAAACAAATGTTCTAATTACCTCTGTGATCATAAGCAATGACATGACAGCCCAAAGATGTTAATACCTGGTATTTAAGGCAAAAATAATTTATTAATTTTATTTCGTTTCTTTAGCCTAAATAAGATAATATTGACTGACACATTAGATCACCTTATATAATCCAACTCTGTGTCTGGCCACTCTGAAACAGTATTATAACTATTTAATAATTATTGTTTATAATACAAATATAATTCAAATTATGCAGTTTAAAGTAAGGGACTCTTCTACCTTGCAAAGGCATTACCATGGATATACAATATTATTGGTTTACCATCATCAATTGAGGAAGAGCCGCGTGCAGGAATTTGCCTGTCATAAAACATTGATGTTCAGAATACATGAATTTGTTGAGTGCATCAAATGTACTCACCACACCCCTAACATTCCTGAATTTCCTTTAACATAAATGTTCAATGATCCAGGCAAACCATAATCTTCAGGTTGATTATAGTTGGCAAAAGGATTCTTTACTGCAATGAAATTGTTAGAAAATATTAATTTTACAATTTTTTTGAGCTAACAAATAAGATTTTTCAACATAATCTTTTACTAGTCAACTTACATAGATTCAAAATATATGCAGGAGCAAATACTCTTTCATCTGTTAATGTAAACTTAGACTTTCTTAATTGTAATTTATGTTCTTCAACAGCAACTTAATTTACATGTTGATATAAAATTTAAACACGAGTAGAAGGTTTGTCATGTATTATAACAATATCATATTAATGGTAACTATTTAATTACACTAGAACTGTATGCAATTGTATTTACTCACCATAATTTAAGAAAACTAGCTGATGTCTAAATGTTGCACTCAAGCACAGGAAGATAAGCGGTAAGCAGTAAATAGCGCAAAGAAAAACAAGCAGTTTTTTAATCCATTTTGCAACGTTAGCCCTAAAAAAGCAATTTATATGAGGAAAGTATATGATATGAACAATTCTCATTTGAATTTTGCTTTCTTTTTAACAGAATTGTGTGAAAGCAATGGTTATCATTGGTACTTCAACTTGTATTAAAACGTTTATGTGATGTTGAAAACCATATCATTGGATGGCTTAGAAAATATGTGGAGTTGAGTGTTTACTAAAACCATATTATTTTGTCATATTCCATATCACTTAATACATAGTTAATCAAAGCAATACTTTTGTTGCATTTATTTGATTCAAGAGTTAAGAGATTTCTGCTTTTGTGACTTGCTCAACTGTATTACTTTAAAAATTTCATACTTCTCTCCATTTAAAAGCAATTCGCTTCTGTGTTCCCCAACAAGCGGTTTCTTTGTTCCGTCAAGTGACACATTTTTTCTTTTTCGTTGGTGAGACATTTTCTTTTCTCAAACATGAATAAAATATAAGACTATAATGAATGCATTTCGAATTTGAAGATTTGGGGATTTTGACATAAAAATGCATGTAGTAAATATGCATGATCAAAGTCCACGTCCACTGAATTCTGTACAGTAATCAATTATCGCTAATCTGATTTTTTAAGGATTGGTTCATAATAAAGAATCGATAATCATGACGTCAGTGATCAATTTTGTTATTTTGATAATTGTGCCACTTTATCGGGCAAAATGATGTTTTCAACTGAAAACTTATTACAAATTCAAGTGTTTGCTGTCGGGGCCGTGCCTAGAACGCTAACTGGGGTGGGTAACGGTGAATATTTATTCTCCCGATTGATTTCTTTCGAAAGTGTAACTCCCCCAGTTTCGGCCCTGTTTGCTGTAATTGAGAGAATGATTAGATGGCGCTATAAAAGCTAGGAATATCTTTGTTTTATTCTTTCCTTCAAACGATGAATATATTTTACTGTCGTGTAGTCTTTCTGTGATGGGACGGTTTCCATGTGAAAAAACTCGTCCCAATGTGCTTTCATCGCAAGCCTTCCTCGGCCAAGATCGTTTCCCGTGATTTTTCCTGTCATCTTTCTACGTTCCCATTGCTCAGCAGAGCGAAGTTTATAATGATGAAGTCGGATAATATCATAGGTGTAATATTTCTTTGACGTCAAAAAGTTTCTTAATAACATTCCGTTTAACATCGATGGCCAGTTAGCAAAACTCGTTTTTTTCTCGTTGACAGCACTGTAAGGAAACGCATATCCAAAATTGTGAGCAGAGTATACGCAAACTGTATGTTTTGGTTGAATAATCTGTTTCCAAGTATGTTTTGGTTCTTGCCAACGTTGAGTATAGGCTTCGATCAGTAAACGATTCTTTGGTGTTTGTATCCAGTTATTTGAAGTGTAAATTAGCCAAGGCATGACTAAAGCTGCATATTCTTCGTAATCTATTAGAATTTGAGGCAAAGTCGTGTTTTGACGTTCTCCAGGCAAAATAAACTCGTCCGAATCCAACATCGCCATCCAACGAGTTTCACAAGCGTGCTTTTCAATCGCGTCTTTCATATACAGCTTTTGAGTTAGAATTTCAACTGTTCCATCGTAAAGAATTATAACTTTGTGATAGAACGGTGTAATTGTTACTAAATTTTCCCGAACATATGGCATCAACGTCTCTTTCAGATTATCAGTCGAGTTGTTGTCATATAAATATACATGTTCAATTCCTTGCATCAAATGAAATTCAATCCACTCTGGCATGAATCTTGCTCGATTTCTAACTATTGCCGTTAATGTTAGATAGTACTTCTCGTCTTCTGGCTTGCACTCACGCGGGATGACTATCCTTATGCCAAAAAGATAATGAAAATAGCCATATGGATAAACTTTCGGTAAAATGATAAAATTTAGCAAGAAGATTCCCACAAATAGTGCCAAAAAAACTTTGCCTTTTACAGATGTTCGTCGTAATGAAAATGTCATTTTTCCGTTTTCAGTGTTAAGTATGGCGCTAGATATAATTTGTGTTTTATGTAGTGTTTAGAATTTATATCGACACAATATTTGAATTTTCAAGTGCTTAATGGAGCGTTTCAATCTGGCTTCTACGAGAGTGCCAGCTGTCGATTTTTGCTTTAAAAGTAGTTATGAAAGTGTAGTAAAAAACGTTTTGTAGTTTCACCAGAAAAGTTGGTATGGTATATGTTGAAGAAATCTGCTTAACGGCGTCGATTTGTAGACCTTGTACCTGTTGGGAATAAGTTATGTAATTGAATGTCCTACTGACAGAGAGACAAATTCTCCTTAGTTGGTTTAATTTCGTTAACCAATAGGCTTAAAAGAATTTTGATTGATGTTTTGTTGTAAATGAGTTGAAGAGAGAGTCTGAGTGAGTGAGCGATATACGTATTTGATAAACATTGCCAGGGAATAAAAATTTCGTTATTCAAAAGCTTGAGTTGTTGCATCTATTCGACATATTCAAAGGGAATATTGCCTGGGCGACGGGCAAGATTCACAAAACGTGGCACCTCCGACGGGATAAGTGAAAATAGTTCGATCAAGAACAAGAATTCGTATTGAAACATGTCGAAGCAGGAAGCTGCGGAGCTAGCACTGAAGCAAAACTCAAGCATATTACGATCACTTGCGGGAAAACTGAGAGAATTCTTGCGTCAGATAATCACGGGAGAATCGAAAGACATCGTGATGCGTTAAATGAATTAGTAAAAGAAGCAGATACCGCCAAACGTACAGTCGAAGGGTTGAAAATAGCTAGCGGCGAAAAGTCGAAAGCATTTCCGAGTGGGAGGAATCGATAGAAAATACCATCGGTCAAGCTGACAATGCAATAGAACAATTACGCAAGTGGCTTATGGAAGTGAATGAAAGTAAGAAAGCACATTTAAGAAAGGATCAGTTGAATTTCGAGAAAGAGTTGTATGAAACCAAGCTGCACTACAAGACTCAATTGGAAGAGTCCAAGAGGGACAAACCAGAAGAGACAGGAGAAATGAATTCTACAATTAGTGGCAATCTGGAAGCTAAACTACCAAAGCTAGTGATTTCAAAATTTAACGGAAGCTACAAAGATTGGCCAAGATTCTGGAACCAGTTCAGCGAGACTATTGACAAATCAAATATTTCCAATGTAACAAAATTTTCATACTTGAGAGAGTTGCTTGAAAAACATGTCAAGTATTCCATAGAAGCACTACCTTTCACTAGTGAAGGGTATAACCGAGCAAAAAGTATACTTCAGTCAAAGTATGGAAAGGAGTCAGAAGTGATTAAAGCCTACACCAAAGAAATTCTTGACTTACCCAACATACCAGATGCCAATGTACAGAAGGTGCATAAATTCTCGAAAGACTCACCTATTGCGTACAGTCTTTAGAAACTATGGGAAAACTGGAGCAGATCAATGGAAGTGTTGCAATGACATTGGACAAATTGTCTGGTATAAGAAGCGACTTGGTTCGTACCGATCCCAACTGGGATGAATGGGATTACATTAAGCTAATAGAAGCCTTAACATTATGGACTAGGCGAAACCCTAGAAACCCTATATGTGAAGGAGAAAGGAAGGAAAATAGAAACAGTCCCGTGAAAGAGTATTCAACACCAAATTCGGTCAGCGAAAATGTGTATATTGCGATGCAAACGATCATAAATCAGTTGACTGCTCAAAGGTGACGGATATCAACGAAAGGAAACAAATATTGGCAAAAAGCGCTGCTTCAACTGTACGGAGAAGGGCATAGAGCAGCCGATTGTACAAGTAAAATAACCTGTCAACATTGAGAGAAGGCATCATACTTCTTTGTGTGAACAAGCAATGGGGAAGAAACCCTGATGACTGCAACAAAACCAACGAAGAGTCTTCCCAATCTTGACTGTAAAGGTTAATGGGATCATGTGCAGAGCGTTAGTTGATTCTGGGGCTGGCAGCTCGTATGCATCTGCAAAGTTGGTAAGTGTCCTTGGCATGAAACCTGCTGACATAACAACAAAACAAGTGGACATGCTCCTGAGTAGTAGTGTAGAACGTCTGGAGACCTATGCAACTAAAGTGGAGTCCCTCGATGGAGAGTTTGGTATGGAAGTAGATTTAATTAAAGTGGAAAAAAGTGAACTTTTATCAGTAAAAAACCCCCAATACAGCCATATGATTTCCAAATACTCACACTTAAAGGGGTTGATATCCAAGATGGTGACACGAAGGCTCAGCTTCCAGTACATGTAGTTCTTGGGGAGGGTATGCCAGAATAAAACAAAGAATCGTCCCCGAATAGGTAAAGATGGCGAACCTATCGCGGAGTTGACCAAGCTGGGATGGTTCGTGATGTCCCCTGGAAAAGAATTTGATCACAATCATATGTTACTAACACAAACCACTCAAAGGATTATGAGAAGTTGTGCGGTTGGATGTTTTAGGACTTGCCGACACCTCAGAACACGATCAAACCTCAGTGTATGGAGAGTTTAAGGAGCAATTGGTCAGGAGTTCAGAAGGTTGGTACGAGTCTGGTCTACTGTGGCGAGGTAACCATCCTCCTTACCATCTTACAAAGAAGGAAGTTTGCGACGCCTCAACAGTCTTGTAAAGAGATTAGACAGGGAAGGAATGGCCAGTGAGTATAACAGGATTATTGAGGAACAAGTCAGCAAAGGGTAGTTGAACTTGTAACCAGGCCCCAGTGGGTAGGGAGTTCTACTTACCTCATAAACCCGTGATACGTGAAGCTGCACAAACAACGAAAATCCGTGTAGTTTACGATGCATCCGCTCGAGCGACTCCAAGTGCTCCATCCTTGAATGATTGCCTTTACCCAGGCCCGCCGTTACAGAATAAGCTTTGGAGCGTATTGGTTCATCATCGTTCATTTCCAGTTGCACTTTGTGGCGATATAGAAAAGGCATTCCTCCAGATCCGAATAAAAGAACAAGAAAGAGATGCCTTACGGTTTCACTGGAAGAGTGACAGTCAACCTGAACCCTTGACATATAGATTCACAAGAGTCGTCTTCGGCTAACTTGCTCCCCATTTCTGCTTGGGGAGTGCTAGAGCATCACCTAGAAACTTGGAAAACAAAGATGCCAGATATCGTTGAGGAACTGAAGAAATCTATGTATGTCGACGATCTGCTTAGTGGGGGACAAACAGTAGACAAAGCCAAGGAAAGGAAAAGAAATCAATCGATGTATTCAACGACGCCAATTTCAATTTACATAAGTGGAACTCAAATGCCCATGAGCTTGAAGCAGATGAAGAAGAAAAGGATGATGAAGAAGAAACTTTAGCAAAACAACAACTTGGAACTAAATCTGGAGAATCTAAAGTGCTGGGACTGTTATGGAAAAAGAAAAGTGACGAGATTTCCATAGTGATCCCATCAGAGAAATCGGCAAAAACGAAACGTGAAGTACTGAGTAGATTGGCTCAGGTTTATGACCCTTTGGGAATTACATCACCCTTAATTCTAGAGGAAAGATAATTTATCGTGATATCTGTAAGGAGAAGCTCTTGTGGGATGTACGGCTAAGCCATTCTTTGAAGTATCGATGGGACTGCTGGGAGAGCAATCTTCCGTGTGAAGTAAGTGTTCCGCGATCATTAGCTGGGTTCCGAGAACCAATCAAGTCTTTAGAGCTGCACGCATTCGGGATGCTAGCACACAAGGTGTAGGAGCTGCAGTGTACTCAGTTATTCATCAAGAATCGGGAACTACTCAAATTCTAGTTGCTGGTAAAAGTCGTCTGGCAAAGAGGACCTAACTGTTCCACGGCTAGAACTTGTGTCAGCCCACATGGCAGCGAACCTTCTTGTGAATGTGCGAAACGCTTTGGATCATTTGTCACGGCCGCAAAGTTTTGCATGGCTAGACAGCACTGTCGCCTTGCATTGGATACTTGGACGGGGCCAGTATAAGCAGTTTGTCTCAAACCGTGTCCGTAAGATACACCAACATCCTGAAATAAAATGGCGATATGTACCCACATCCGAAAATCCTGCAGATTTGGCCAGCAGGGTGGGAAATTAAATCAGACGTGGCTCTACGGTCCAGAATGGTTATCTGATATGAGCAGATGGCCAACTAATATAACCACAACTCAACTACTGCAACAGAAGCAGAAGCGACAGTCTCCCAAAAAGTATCGCAATGACAACAAAACAGTACAGTGGTGATGTTCTGGAACAGTTATTAAGAAAATGCTCACTAAACGAGCTCTAAGAGTGTCGTCATGGCTCTTCAGGTTCGTAAACAATTGTACACAAGGGAAAAGAGAACAGGACCATTATCCTTTACCGAGATTGAAGAGGCTAAGATGAAATTTGTCAAACAAGCCCAAAAGCAAGGTCAATTACAACCAAAGTACGAGCAACAATGCAAAGAACTTAATCTTACGCGCAATACAGAAGGGATTTTAGAATGTCGTGGCCGAATTGTGGGTCAGTATCCTATCTACCTTCCCACAGATTCCTTGCTAGCTCAAAGAGTAGTGGAAAAGTTGCATCGTGAAACGTTACATGGAGGTGTTGGATTGACAATGGCTGCTGTAAGAGACGTATTGGATACCGAAGTTAAGAAGCCTTGTAAAGAAAGTTAGAAAGTGTTTTGGTTGTAAAGATATCGAGCGACATCAGTTCCCACACCCCTCCTGGAAAGTTACGAGGACCGGACTTGTGGCGAAACAGCGTTCGAGGTGATTGGCGTAGATTTCCGGGACCAATACGTTACAAAGGGAAGTCAAGCAAGGATTGCAAAGCGTATCTGGCGCTGTTTTCATGTAGTCTAACTCGAGCAGTGTACTTGGACATGATGCCGGACCTATCTGCTTCCACGTTCATACCAAGTTTGAAACGGTTCATTGCTCGGAGGAAGACCCAGGAAGATCTATTCAGACAATGGGGGCACCTTCATAAAAACTGCGAAGTGGATTGATACTTTACGAAAGGAGGAACGTCTTCAAGGTTATTTGGAGGAATTCGACATTAAATGGCAGTTTAACTTGTCCCGAGCACCATGGTGGGGAGGGCAGTTCGAGCGGCTGATAGGAATTGTCAAACAAGCGATGTATAAGACAATTGGAGGCGCAAATCTGAAGTGGGAAGAACTGTGTGAAGTGATACTTGACGTTGAAGTGCAAATCAATAGAAGACCGCTCAGTTATGTTGAAGACGATGTTCAACTGCCGGTGTTGACACCCGAGCTCTTTTTATTCCAGAGATCCAATCATCTGCCAGAACAGAAATTATGGGTCGAAAGTGATCCGGACTTACGTAAGAGGGCAAGATACTTGAAATCTTGCAAACAAGCCTTGTGGAAAAGATGGTCGAAAGAATACCTCACTGCACTGCGAGAACGACATAACATGAGTCATGGGACTAAAAAGTTCATTGTAAACGTAGGAGACGTCGTGCTGATCAAATCCAACGAAAAGAATAGAGGGAAATGGCCTCTTGGGATCGTTATAGAGACATATCCAGGAAGAGATGGAGTGATACGTGGGGTAATGTTGAAAACGCCAAATGGAAACCTAGAACGACCAGTTCAATTGCTTTACCCAATGGAATTAGCTTGTGATCGACAGAGCCATGAAGAGAGACCTGATCTTAATCCAGACGCTCAACCATTCAAGCCAAAGCGTAAGGCAGCTGAAAATGCAGCGGGGATCATCAAATCGATTGCTGACGAAGAAAACGAAGAGATTTGAAACACTTCCTAGAACAGTAATCCATTTAGATATACATCTTATCTTCAGATGTATAGGGGGAGTGTGTTGGGAATAAGTTATGTAATTGAATGTCCTACTGACAGAGAGACAAATTCTCCTTAGTTGGTTTAATTTCGTTAACCAATAGGCTTAAAAGAATTTTGATTGATGTTTTGTTGAAAATGAGTTGAAGAGAGAGTCTGAGTGAGTGAGCGATATACGTATTTGATAAACATTGCCAGGGAATAAAAATTTCGTTATTCAAAAGCTTGAGTTGTTGCATCTATTCGACATATTCAAAGGGAATATTGCCTGGGCGACGGGCAAGATTCACAAAATCTATCCTTTTTTATACCTTCGTCCCTAAGAATTGGTCAACTTCAATAGATGTATATAACACGTTTTGTTGAGCAATCACATTTGTCGGTTTTGCCTTTAGTCTTCGTCCTGACAATATTGCTTCGTTGCGCTAGTTGATTTGCATACATATGGCATTGAAAAATTTATTTCTTTTGTATAGACCACCAGTCCAATACATGCAAGTGAATACATATAACGCATTGTCAAAATCTTTTTTCTGGTATTTAATTGGTGGAGAGCGCATTCCGCGGACTGCATGCCGCAAAAGAGACTTAATTATGTATATAATTAAATAGATGATGAGGCTTTGTTGATATCGTGATAACCAAACACCAAAACACGACCTTTCAACGATTTAATGTATTTTTCAACGAGTTTAGTTAACTATTTTATGTTTTTTTTGGGTGGGATCACGAAAAACCTGCGTGCTTAAGTCTTATCAATATCAAATGTGACACTATAGTGGAAACATTTTTTAAAAATGTTTTATAAACGTTTGCGAACGTTTTCTTCATCAACTGCCTTTATTTTTGAACACTTGAAATCGTTTTACAAAATTGTGACATTTTGACATGTTTTCATCGTGTTTGTCATGAAAACAAAGTGAAATTTTAAAGTGGTAACACTGCCGTGAAAATGGAAGCTGCCCATTCATTTTCGTTCACTTTCATTTTTTAATTCTGTTCTCCTTGGATTTTATAAACGATGTTTACTTTTATAAGTTTTCTCTTTATAATTTTTGTCTTTCTTTACCTTCATTATAAGTATTTTAAGATCGACTTAACGTTGAAAATTTACGAAATATTTGGCAAGAACGTTGAGCAACTGAAAGGTAAAGTTGTGTGGATAACAGGTGCATCGAGTGGTATTGGGGAACATTTAGCGTACGAGTTGGCCAGAGTTGGTTGCAAATTAGTGCTTTCTGCTCGAAGACAGCAAGAGTTGGAGAGGGTAAAACGAAAATGTTGTGGTAAGATGCATTCTATTGATGTTTGCTGTGTTCCAGTTTTCGTCGATAAAAATGACATATTTTATTTTGACGTAGAACTTTCTGTAAATTTGACTGATTTTGATGGTGATAGTGACATACTTGTTTTGCCGTTGGATACAACGAAATTTGAATCACATGAAGAAGCATTTACGATCATCCTAAATCATTTTGGCCAGGTGAAAATTTATGTATTTTAAATATCTTGAACAGTAAAAGACAGAATACATGATGAATGGTCTCATTCCAACAGCAAAAATTCATAAAACACGGAAATTTTTGCTTTGATTCTCAGCTAAGCAGCATGTTGTGCGGGATCAAAATACCAAGATACATACAGTATCTATTAAAGGATAATCCATAAGCCAGTAAATGGGATCAGGATTTCAGGATCTTCAACATAAGATCTGTTGTCCAATTCATAATCTTACTACAGTAAATCCTAGATATAAAGGCAACTTGCTCAACTTTGTTATCCATTATTTAAATTGAATTTTTAAAAACTTATTTTTGTGTTATTTTATGTTAGTATTGAACATAAATTTTACTTCATTTATTGTCTCCATCAGGTTGATATTCTTGTAAACAACAGTGGCAGATCCCAACGAGCTCTTGCTGTTGATACAGAACTACAAGTTGATCGTGAATTATTTGATCTCAATGTGATTGGTTCTATATCCTTGACTAAAACTGTTTTACATCACATGATCAAGAATAAGACAGGTCATGTTGTTGTTGTAAGCAGTGTACAGGGAAAATTTGGTGGGTAATGTTTTAAAACATTTTTAAAATTTTTTACTCTTATTTCAAATTATGCTTTTCTGTTCCAGGTGTGGTTGGTTCTGCAACATATTCTGCATCTAAATTTGCCCTTCAGGTTGGTTAAGCTCAATAACTCATTATGCATACATTATCTGGCAATAGTGGAGGATCTTAGAGGATAAATTATACATTTAGGGATATTTTTCCAGCCTTCGTGCTGAACTTTATGATAAAGGTATCAAAGTCACTTCCATATGCCCAGGACCAATCAAAACAGCAAGTGTACAAAATGCTGTTACAGAAACTCACGGCACGGTACATTACATAATTTACAATGTTCTTTTAATGTGGAAAAACACATTGTTTTCAAAACTTTTGTCTTAATATCAGCAAGTCAGCAAACAAGTGTGAAATGTTTCCTTTTGTTTGTATTATTGCAGAGTTATAAAGATAAGAAAATTAAAGAAAATGTCTCTGGACGAATGGAAGCTGGGATGTTTGCAAGATACATGGCCATAGCTATTGTAAATGAATTGGATGAATGTTGGATTTCACCTCAGCCTGTATTACTAATTACATATGCATCCCAATACTTGCCATCTATTTTCAACACGTATGTTGTACTTTTCTATAAATATATGTTTATTTTACTGAAGTTTTCTGTATATCACTGTAGAACTATATTTCACCCATGAAAAGCATGGGAGATGTGAGAGCCTCCCATGACCAAATGGCACAGGACGTTGCTCTACTACAATCTTATTTTACCTATATCACTTAAATAGGTTATATAAAAGGTTTGCAATCAAAGGATTGAAAAAACTTCGAGAAACTGAAGGTATTTCATGTCTTTTGATTTAATTTTTTTTATTTGTCAAAAGTATTTTATTTACAAATTCCCTTTGTGTTGATTGCAGAAAAAAAATCAGATTAATATGAAAAAAGATGAATAAGAAATGAGGAAAATGTTGATTATTGGAGATTGATTATGTGTTGGTGGTAGCATTTCCAAAGATGATAAATCTTCAGCTAATGAAATTATGCCTTGAACTACTGACTACATGTGATGGGATTTGATTTAAATGTAAATTTCCTGTTCTAACAATATTTAGACCAAATTGCAGGTGTGAATTTCCCTAATTTATTTACGAAGTTCCTATTATTCACATTATATATATGAAATTATTTAATTTACATCATGTTCAGCTCTCTTCGATTTTCCACCTACAAACAAGTTTATTGTGTTTACCTGCGGACAATAAAAATGGTCGTTAAGTGCAAGTTAAGTAAGCAGTGTTCACTTCAAAATACATAGAAAGATGACACCAACTGAAGCAAATCACTGCTTCATTTTCCTCACAATTATGTCAGTGTCAAAATGTGATGTGCAAAGATCCTGAGGAATAAACTGCATAACCTAATGGTGGCTCAGCTGCTTGCATAGTGACATTGCGTAGCAAAACAGGATGTGCTTGAATGCTATATCGCTCTTCATCATCGTTTGTTAAATAAAGTAGTTCGAAAGCTAGAGATGACCACTGACCACGTACTGCTTCGCTGTTTAGAGTCCCAATATACATTATGAGATCTTGTTTAGTCAGCAGATGACTAGTGAATACACTCTAGAAATCGTAAGACATCGAGAATAAGTTTATTTGACTTCACATCCCTACATGTACAAAACTGCTGTGGAAATTGTTTTTCTTCATCATTCTGTGATACGCTCTCACCTGTTCAGAATCGTATCCTATTGTAAATAAACAAGCTTTTTCAGCCAATATCGCTGCATTCCAATCCTGGTTATTTTCAATGCCAATGTGCCAGTTTACCTCAAAATCTTGTAACATCTTATTTAATTCATTGTCATCATGGAACTCACCAAAGACCGCCTCGTCATACGTTACTTTAAATGCGTACCTGTACATCAGAATGACTGTTTAGCAATTGTGTTTTATTCAGGATTGTAATCAATCATGTCAATTATTTACCATTAACATTCCTTAAAATCTACTGATCGTGCTGAAATATTACGTTATGACAAAATGATGACGTCTTTTAACTAATTTCCTAAATGGCTCTCATCTCATCTCATCTCATGTTCTCGCAGCTAATTCACAAATACCTAATACTCTTATACAATGTTGATTTATATTCACCTGTAAGCTTTTAAAACCAAATTCTTTAGTTTATTGTCTTGTTCCATCATATCCAGTTCAGGTGACCAGGGAATCTTGTTATGAAACACCTTGTTTATATGTGAAGGTCCAGCTTCTAATACATTTCCATGTAAACCGCAAACGTTTACAACTGAGAAGCATTTCAATATCAGATTCCGATACATGGCAACTGATATCTCGTCATTTAGGAAGGAATCGTCACAGCTATTTAGAACATAACTAAACCATTCTTTGGGGAAATATGATTCGATTTCTTGTACATATCTTTGACATGATCGAAGCAAATAGTTCCAATGTGAGAGCAGCCCACCTTTAATTTCAGCGTCATCAGAAAGCTTGCTTATAACTTTTGGTGCGATTTTTCGAGTTGGAAGTATGAGGTTTGATTTTTTCACTGCGTTTTTCTGTAACTTTGTTTTGCTGCCTATGTCCTGTGCGGGCAAACCAAACGTTATCACTGTCTCGTTTCCTGTACTATATGACATTTGTATTTTTGTGCTTTCCTCTTCTTCACTTTCGCTTACGTCACTTGATGACCATTCTCTATCGTACCAATCATCGACGTCTGTCATGGTTGTCTTTTCACGTGCTTTTGGCTCTATTCCTATATGAAAAAGAATCTTTACGATTCAGGTGTCTTTAAGTTTCATGTGTTAAACATCTCACTCCCTTGCTTCTCTAAACAACTTGTAGTGATACTTTATTTCTAGTTCCTAACTGTATACATGATGGAAAATTGACACTTCTACACAGTTTACCTTTCAGCTTTGTGGTATTTTTGGTTTTAAAATCGCACCATGTTTCTGTTGTCTTTGGTATACTATAATTGTCGTTGAGGGATATCACGGGATCAGTTTCCAAAGTCATTATGTTCTCCCTCAAGTGTGATGTTTTTATGTTGTTGCGATCTTTATCACTGGTCTTATACTTCAACAACACCCAAATCAAGCACTTCATAAAGTTAGTACATTGTTGAGAAATGTTTGCTGGCTGATCAATTATACCTGTAAGGACACTATGAGCGTCGGAATAAGTGTTGATAACGAAGCAATTTAACGGTGTTAGAGTATTTAACCAATAGTTAAAATTAAATCCAAATAATGAATTGCGTTCTCTCGTAAAAGTATCTTCAAATATCTCATCTACTTGCGCTGCTTCCACAGTATGACACGAAGTTTCTTGGAGTTCGAGTCCCCTGACAATCACATTACAATATTTATATCCCTTTTCAAGAATCTGTACAATGATAAGGCGATCTTGATAGCGTATGAGCAGGAAATCGCTTTTGCTCGTAAGATTACCGTAAGAAAACATACTTCGTAGTTGATTTACTAATTTTGGCATAAGTTGCTTGTAGTAGATAGAACCTTCACTGGAGCCCAACATTTGCATGATTAATGACGGCCAGGCGCGTTTTGGGCGAGGAAAGCCAACAAAAAAGATAGGAAAACAAAAGAGAGGTGTAAGGGGAGAAGATAGTAGCACAGATAAAACTAAAATACCCAGAACCAGTGGACTAAGTAAGAGTGATGTTATATATGTAGGAATGGTTAAGGAATGTCTTTGTTTTGGCTCAATCCACGATGTTACAAACACAGTAAACATAAATTTTAATTTTGTTATGATTTCCACCAGTCTGTCAATGATTATACCAATGAGAAGAAGTTGAAGCCCAATCCCCAAATCGTGCCACCATTTGTTTTGAATGTTCATAAATATTACAACACAATAGATAACGATTTCAAATAAACATTTGAAAGTGTTCTGCCATGCCTATGATAGAAATTGTAGGACCAGTGATTATTTTTATTCAAATTATATGGACATGTGAATAAGTTAGAAACATCTGCGGAGAAAATTGTTAACTTACCCATCTTAACGATCGAATGATTCCTATAACTTTAAGAAATGATCCGATGTCTCTGTTTGAAGGATTTCCAAGAAATGTGCTGAGAAATCCCACAATAAGGAATGGACAAACTATAAATAAGGAAAACAATTAGCAAATTAAACTTTTTGAAAACTTTCAACACTGATTTTAATTTATTTTTTCTGAAATGTTTTTGATTAATGATGTGATGCAGAGTTCAACAAACGACAATTTTTACCAGGCTAATCCTGTTTTGAAATAAGGCTTTCTTTAAGATAAGTTCCTAGAACAAATTGCTACCATCCTTCACGGCGTGCCTACTTCGATGTTGTAAATTTGAAGAGGGCTCCAGACCCTAAAATATATTTTATGTTCCCAAAACTTACCATAGCAATGAACAATGTCGTAAATAACACCAACATATCTTTGTGATCTTTGAAATTCCTTCAATTTCTCAACTGAAGTGACGCTCTTTATGTAAATTGGATTTCTAACCAATCCAGACGCGACGTAGACAGAATTCAAATCTCCAAGTATTTTCAGTAGTACAAATAAAAACACAAAAACGTAGCCAAAAATGTCAAGTGTTTTTCTGCTCGCGTTATCACAAAAATGACTAGAAATACCAGCTGTTGCGACACATAGAAAGAGCATAGTTGTATACTTAACAACGATCATTAAATGTGACAGTGAAAGCTTTTCCTTTGCCCTGGTAAAGAATGTTATGGCTGAATGACCAATATACCAAAGATCAAAACTGAGAATAAATCCAACTGCGGCAGAATATGATATCAGTAATGTGTGATTTTTATAAAACACGCTGGAACAAACGCAACCACCGATAGCACGAAAGTAAAACACAATCTACATGGTAAACATCAAATCAAATGAATTTTCATATAAATATCTTGCAAAATTTTAGGTAAAGATTTTTTGTATGTTTTACCATAAAATGATCTCTAATACTAACTCTAACCCCTTCTATCCCCTCTTCTCTCCTGTATGCCTATATATGCTATCAGTACTTAGATATAATGGGTTGATAAGCAGTTCATCGTGGTAATTGGATATTGTGACTTACAATTTTATTATTACCTGACATCTGATGTTGTGTACGTACCACCGAGTACAAACACAAGAACTTGCTCACCAAGCCATGGGAATAATGCATCAATTGGTGGCAGAATACCTACAGTCCAAAGTCCAGGTAATGTTGCCATGACAACACAAAGAACCATACTGATCATCTTTAAACTGGAGTAGTGCCTGAAATGAGCCAAATGATCTATAATATTATAAAGTTTATATGCAACAATAACATGTCTGTCTTTGTTTATTAAAAGTATAAAGTGAGTCTATCAATAAATTTAATGTTGATTTTGAGATGTTCCTCAGTTCTGGCATTGATCTATTGACATAATGAGAAGTTTTTAGCTTCAGTATTATATACGATCTTGAATAAGAGTGCATAAGTGTTGACATATACAGGAAATATTAAAATTTATATATATAGTTTAAACAAAACCTTGCTAAAACTCCAACTACAGCAATTGATCCAACATACAACGATCTTGTGAGTGAACTATACCATGAATTATTCACTGTGCGAAACATAGCAGTTTCTGGTGGAGGATAGACAGTTAATGAATAATTGGCAATGCATAACGTTAACCAGTTAAATATTAACAGAATAATTGTTGAATCATGATTAAAACCTAAATCCTCCAACACAGAAGGTTGCAGATACAGAAAAGTTGCACCACTGCTTAAAACTATCGCCAAAATACGTAGTAAAACGCAGGAGTTTTTCGGAAACATAAACCAAAAGATCTCCTTGTTGCAACATGAAGAAAACTTGATCTGATCATTTTCAGTTGGTAAGTTATGTTTGTTAATTTCAGGCCTTTCCTTGTCTGGACACTTCTTCATGTAAAATTTCAGCAAATGAACAAACGCAAGAGTTACTCCAAGCAAACCACCGTAAATGTAGGACCATACATAATCATTAAAGATCTTCAACTCAGCCAAGATCGTGAACAACACACCAAATAAAGCAGGAAAGAAAAATACAAAGACTTGATAGAAGTAAATATACCACTGTGCACCAATTTTAAATCGTAAACCACCAGTCAACGTTTGCGGAAATCGTTTTTGAAAGAATTTTATGTTATAGTCGTTCAAGAACAAAGCTTTAGCTCCATCTGTGGATGACATTGCCATTGAAGAAAAAATTCGCAAAGATCTCTTTTCTAATTTAAACAGAAAAAATTTATATTCAAGTGACTAGAATATCCTCTGTAAGACATATTGGTAAAAAATTTTTTGTTTTTATCAAGAATCGTGCTTTTTATCGTCAGTTTTTTTATCAAATACTCATGTTGACAGTTGACACTGTTACCATAGAAACGAAATTTATGAAATTTAGAATCAGAAGGAAATGTGATAAACATTTCTTTGTAATGTAATTTGGTCCATGTAATGCACTTATTCACTGGATAGGATATAATCAAAAAGCTGTAGTTACTGAATTGTGAGAAAAGCCATAAAAGAATGAGCAAATTTACATAAAAATTTTAACAATTTTGGAATAGAAATTGCAAATTTCCAAATTTTGAAAATGTCAAGTGGAAGACTGGTGTAGAAATGTCAATAATGGCTGACGTTGTTGACGCTGATGAATTAAAAACTGTTCATGTTGTCACTGAGTTTAAAGAATCTACACATACAAATGTTGATTCCACTCAACAAAATGCTTCCTGCAAGGAAAGTATACAACAGAATGTATTAGGTTCAAAAGAAGAAATATCAAAAAGAGTTCAAATGGATTCTTTAAATTCAGAAGATATTGATGAAGATATGAGCTCATCCGAATACACTTTTGATGATGGTGATGACGAAGCTGATAAGGATGGCGTTTTGAATGACAGCATGAAAAAGAAAAGGAAACGTTTTAAAAAGAAAAAAACAAAACATTTCGATGTTGAGAGCAATTCAAGTTCTGACAACGAAGAAAACGGAGCATTCGATGACACGAATATAAATCCGGTATTAATTACGACACAATTTTGATTTATTTTCAAAAATTACTATGATTTACGTGTTTGAATAAACTACAATGTAAGAATAAATCTGGAGAGCATGATAAGATGACAATTGAAAGGCAAGGAAGAATGAGCATTTATATATTATACTCATGTAAATTTCCTATCTTGAAAGTTGCAATATAAACTGTTCCAGTATCTTCTATTAATATATCGTTCTATCACCCGTAGCTGATCCATTAATGTACCTTGTATCAACTGTAGTTGATCCTAAATGAAGATATGATCTTCACACTTTGCTGGACAATTTAAGCAATTGTCCAGCAAAGTGCGAAGATCATATCTTCATTTAATTTCAACACCGCACTGCATATAACATTCTTTCATATGAAGTTGATCCATTGATGTAGCCTTCTATCAATTGTAGTTGATAGCCTTCTATCAAGTGTAGTTGATCCATTGTTGTAGCCTTCTATCAACTGTAGCTGATTCGTTGATGAAGCCTTATAACATGCGACTTATTGTATTTAATGTGTTGTTATAGTCTGACCTAACATGGTTGTTGTGGATGTGGTATTATGTAAGGGCTGTTTCAAGTGGTGCTCTTAAAGGTAAAAAGTCTGCATAACATCTGGCTTTTCTTGCAAGTTAATTAAAAAGCACAATTATTGAATACTTTGCCACAATGACTGTCAACAACATTCAGGCTTGGTTAGGATTACATTTAGTACAAGTATGGGGCAGGGTATTCAAAAATAGCTTGGTTTATTGTATTGGTTAGTGAAAATTATTCTAAACAGGTGTTGCTTTTTGTTTTTAGTTATAGAATATAAATGTTATAAAGTTTTTTTTCATTTATTTATATTTATTTAGCTGCAGAATTCTTGGGTGAAAAGTTGGCAGCATTCTTTGGAATCACAACACCAAAATATCAATATGTTATTGATGAATATTACAGACTAAAAGATCTGGTTAGTGATGCAGCTTTATTAATGAATGATGGTATAATTTTGTATGAAAACAGTAAGGTGTTGAGTGATTACCACAGTACTTTCACACATTGTAGTTATAAAGTCACCATTACCTGGTATAAGCACTAACAATATTTAATTTTTAACAATATCTGGGTTTTATTTAAGGTTGAAGATCATATCAAATACTTGAATAACATTACATTTCTCTTTTTTTTCAATTTATGCTCAACTCTTCTTACAGCTGTTTACAGTAGTGCTAATTATCAGTGCTTCCAACTGATAATTTTCAAACTTGGCTTTGACCAATTATTGCTCTCAGACTATAAATGTCAACGAAATAAAATTGTTTGCATATCCTTGTATTGATTTTACACAGGAAAAAGAAGAGGAAGAGAAAGAAAGAAAAGAACAAGAGTTTGTTGCTCAAAGAAAGTTGGAAGAACTATCAAAAATGGAAGGAGGCAAAGAGAAACTTGTCTACAATCAAGTTTCTTCGTCATTATCAAACGCACAATCTGCTGGCACAATTCCATAGAAAATATTTTTCTCACAGTCATTGTTTTAGGTGCTAAGTACTTTTCATATTTATCATCTCATTCAGACACTCTGACGTGGCGTTCAAAACTGATGTTTTTTGAAACGGTCTTATTTAAGACCGTTAAGTAAGCAATTTCAACCCTGCAAGCTGACCTAAGCATTATACCAAACATAACTTTATTAAGCATAGCTGTCATTAGGTGTAAAATATGATAAAAGCGATCTTTATGCCGAAATCCCTAATTTCATCGCTACATGTGGACATGGATGACGTTGTATATTTTGGACACAACTCCATTCAAACTATCTATAGCAACGTTATGTAACCTCTATAACCTGTACAACTCCATCCAAACTATCTATAGCAACGTTATGTAACCTCTATAACCTGTACAACTCCATTCAAACTATCTGTAGCAACGTTATGTAACCTCTATAACCTGTACAACTCCATTCAAACTATTTGTAGCAACGTTATGTAACCTCTATAACCTGTACAACTCCAATCAAACTATCTATAGCAACGTTATGTAACCTCTATAACCTGTACAACTCCATCCAAACTATCTGTAGCAACGTTAAAACCTCTACAATATGTAAAAGTTCAGTCCTAACTATAAGCAAAGTTTCAAACAATTCACTTACGTTGTGTTGTGTTACACCAAGCGATAGAGTCTGTTTTAACTATCCTTTTCTTTTGCTATGTTTTTGGCAGAACATATTGCTGTTTCGTTTATCAATAGTTTGTAAAAATTTTGTTTGAATTCTTTTTGTTTATGTCAAACATTTTCCTAATAAATCGTAGAACCTGTCATTACTTGTTAAAATATGGAACATATGAGTTGTAGACTAATCTCTCAGAAATGTAGAATTATTTAATGTGAAACTGGGAAAATAGAAATTGCCCCCTAGAGCGGAGTTTTAATGTAATTGTCTCCATGTGAGAAACTTGCTTGAGTGATGTATTAACACAAACTTGTAAAAACAATTGTGCTTACTTTACTAACATTTTACCATACAGGAAAAGATTTCTCTGTTTTGTTTCCCTTTATTATTGAAAGCACAACGTCCTGTATTTCAAACTATCGTATATACACATTCATTTTAATGTTATTTGTTCCGGTTGTTTGTGAATTGTACGAAACATGTCGCTCTTTAACTATCAATTTGGAGCAGGAAGTTCCGGCATGAATGTTCAACAACAAAACACCTGGATTTATTCAACTTTAAGTGTGTGAAAAGAATGTTAAATATTTGTCTTGGATTAGTTTACTGTAACCACGTGTTTTGAGAAAAATCTGCAAATCTACATTTTCACTTTATGTTTAGTGTATATGATAACATGTAAAATGTTTGAATCCAGATTATCTTATTTTCCATAGTTTTTGTTTCATTCATTTTATATTATTTTATTTTCTTGAAATAATATGACATGTTTGATTTAATAGATTGTGCCCAAGACGATCTCTTTATTACAAAGTCATCACATAGTGGTTACCTTATAAAGACATCCGTTCATTGAGATGAGAACCATATTTCTGCATGAGGTTTTTCTTTGAAAATATATTTGCTATACAGAATTATGGTTATCATTTCAATCGTTATTTAAGTCGACACTCCCCAGTCAAAAATTTCCTGAAAAAACGAATGTTCATGTGGAATAGTGATGAATGACTTTCAAGAGAGTGTGTTATTGACTTGTTTTGTCCTAACTAGTTGGTTAAAACAGTCAATAAAATAGCGCTATCATTGATGTGGAAATTTGTAATTTTCTCGTCAATAAATCTTCATATTCTCTTCTCATATTTCACTGCCCACACTCTACTTCTTCATTTTCAAACGTCCGACTATGTGTATTGATTTCTTCTAACAGCTAACACATGTGCCGACTCAATGAAACTCGATCATATGTCCATACACGTTGACTTGATAGCTTCTTCGTTTACGGAAATCATCATAATAAGACCTACAACTTTAAAGCAGAACCACGTGCATAAATAGTTCACAAACATTTCCTTTATTTGGCAAAGTTGGAGTAAAAGTAATTACAGAATTTATGAAAAAGACTTAAAGGTAAGAAATACTTTTATGGAATTAAAAAATACGTATCCTTCTTCAGTAAGCTACTCGAACGTTTCTTCTTCTGCTGATGAACATTCCTTTAAAGGAACTTTCTGTTTTGGGCTATCGGTGGAATTAGAGCGCTAAAGTTTGCCAACCTCCCCCCTTGATTCTCTTAAAATATACGTGGGAATTTGGGTTAATGCCTCGCACTTGAAAAGAAGATAGCTTGCTTTCTTATTTTGATCAATGAACCGCATTAGATAACCAATTACAAATATGACCTTTTAATCTCCGTGTTGTTGTCTGGACTCCAAAGTGTGAAAAAATGTTGAAACAAATAAAGAAGGTTATATACCAAAGAAATATTGCCAAATAACTATACTTGAGTAATGTAGCTTTGTAGTTTGACTGGAAGAGATGTGCTCAATTTTTGGGATGTTGCCAAGCCCAGAATCAATGACTAAAAAATTCAGTTGCTACTTGCTATTCTCCTTCACGTCAGAAATGTGACAGATTCTTCCTAAAGAGTGGAATTTCCCTAAATTTTTACGTCTAGTGTTGTATGTTGGGAAAAAATCGAAAAGCAATCGGTTAGAGTTATTTCATGATTGTATAAATTCTTATATGTCGAGTTTCGCATCAAAAATTTTTCTTCTTTCTCGTCATCAGATTTATTATGGTGATGGGAAGTATACTTGTACTGCTCAAAAGGAGTTTTTTTCTCATGCATGAATTAAAATAATAACCACACAACTCTTCCGACATAGCCAATATTTTACATGACACGTAATATATTCTTTGGCTCAGAAGAATTCCCATCACAAATACCGCCAAGAATTATGTTAAAGTGCGTGGACAAGAAGTGGTCAATATATTCACAGAAAAAACTGTAAAGAAAAAGAAATCGGCGATCTTGACGTATTTAACAATAATGATACAAAAAACATTTTAAGCCAGATGGTTGGTGACTTTATACTGAGAATTGTAATTACATCCTACAAGATTTTCATAACAATTTAATTCTTTTCAATTATACATAAATAAATTCTTCCTCTCTCTGTCATCACTGAGCAAAGAATTAATAAGTATTGATTAATTGCAATTACAAACGAATTTAGACGGAATAGACGCATTTTTGTCGTTAACGATAATTGTTTGACGTAACCAGAAACCTGTTCCCAGCAGGTTTAAGGAAGTGAAACAAGTCTGTGTGGGCAAGCACGTGTTGTTGTCTGAGTATTTATTGACATTAAAGTTAACCGCCTTAGTAATACTGGTGAGCCTCTTAAAATTTCATAAAAAAAAATGTTTCTTTATTATTTTTCTCGTGGGGAGAAATGAAACATTTCAAAGCACAAAATAAAATTATCTATTTTCTTGGTGGTATAGAGTATAAAATAGTTCAAGGTAGCAGCAGGGTACTTTATAGTCAAAAGAATGAAAACACTTGAGAGCACAAATTACACAACTTTGTGTAAATATTTCACTGCGGTTTGACAATCCCCGGATTTCCCTTCGGCGTTCAGTATGACAAGCGTTAATGAATCTCAAGAGTTTTCCACTTGCATATTTCAGATTAAAGCAAGCTGTGGTAAGACGTCGATCGATATCCAGACTGATATAGAAAAGATAAACAGTGTATAAATAACGAAGAAGATTCACCGTGATTTCTAGTAATGTTAAAACCTAACGTTAACATCTTGTTATTTTTTCTCATACAAATTCGACAATTCACGGTCATTGCGAAAAAACATCGTCACTCTCCATGGATTTATAAGAAAACTGGAGATGTTATAGTGAATTGTATCTTTCCTTTGCAAACTCGTGTTAAGGGAAAATTAAAAGTGAATATTGAAGGTGTGTTATGGCTGGGTGCTTTTGTCGACAGAATTCAAAATATCAACGACAGAAAATTGCTTCATGATAATTTTACAGTTGGCTATAAAATTTATGAGAGTGGAAACGACGTCAGCAGAGGTTTGAAATACACTTTGTCTCTCTTAAATGAAGTTGTTAACCAACAAGAAAGGCATAATGGTCCAGTAATTACTCCAGTAGTGATTGGACCTTCTCTTGATAAGTTGGAAGACGTATCAAAAAATATGTATGATTTATTTAATGTCTCTCGCCTTGTTTACACTACAACGAGTGCAAGATTTGGAACAAATGAATTCAGCAAATTATTCCGGGTTGTGCCATCCGATGTTATACATGTTTATGCTTTAGAGAAACTTGTAAAGATGACAAAAATCGACAGGTTTTGTGCAGTTGTGTCTGAGACACATCCCCAATGGTTGGAACGATTAAGAATGTTCAAAAGTCGTTTGATTCAAATTAAGAGTAAGAAGATTATACATGTTATTAGCGCTACTACAATAGACAATGGAACCGACATTTCAAATGACTTCTTTAGTACTTGTGAAGCTGTTATTCTTTTTACTAAAACCACTGTGAGTCATCGGATTATTCAAAATATCAAAAAATTCCGACTGAAAATAGCGTCATCAGATTTATGGTTGATTGAAGTTTGTCAATTTGACGATCCGCTGCTGAGAGTGTACGATACTAAAGCAAATTTGACGAAACTGGTTATTGTGAGAAACAAAATGACAGACGATGTGGATCATTACAGGAAAAAATTGCTGCAAGTTTTAAACGAAAGTGACGAGTTAGTTAGACCGTACTGGTTAAGGAATATCTACCAAAAATACTGTAAGACGTCAAGAAGTTTTATAGACAAAAAAGGTGACAGTTGTAAAAACTTTCTTCTGAGAATAAAATCTGAAATAGGTCGTCGTCATAAAAATTTACGTTCCACTCTAACTTTGCAGGGCATTTTTAACTCAATTGATCTTGTCACAGACATCATTAAAAAAAGATTTCAGGACTGTGACAAGGTCCAGTATCGACAAAAATGTCTTAAAATTTTACCATCTGAATTCACTGAAAAACTTAGAAACGAAATATCCTCGTCGAAGTGGGGTCTTTACAGTAACAACTTTCTACTCCAATACTTAGTTAAAATGCACAAGGAAGGCGCCTACGTATTTGGAATGAATCACAGTTGGACTATAACCACACAGCTACTCAGTTCATATGGAAAAATTGCGAAAGTGCCATTAGGTCTCCCTGACAATCATTTGATAAACACCAGCAATATCAATAAATCGTCAACAGCTTATAATGAAACTTGTAATAACTGCGGAGAAACAAAATACTCGTCTGAATGTGTTTCAAATAAAATCATCATAAGTTGGAAAAGCCATTGGGCAATTGTGTTATATTTCCTTCAAGGAATATGTCTTATTCTGATTCTTGGAAATTTTACGTTTTTTTTCCTCCATAAAAACTCGCCTATAACGATTTTGTGTTATTCCTGGCTGGATAATATTATTTTGGCTGTGTTATGCCTGTTTTGTTTGTTGCCCTTAATGCATTTGGGCGAGTTGTCAGCGAACAGATGTATGATGTTTTGGTCAATGCTAAATTTATGTTTTGCGTTCTATGCTGGACTTTTATTGACAAAGACTTTGGTTATACAGAACATATTAAGATGTGAAGTTGCAACTGACAAACCAGCAAGAAGATTAATATTTGCAGCTTCTATACTCGTCATTCATATTGTCCTTCTCGTTATCTTAATGACAGTAAATTTCCAAAGTTCAATATGTTCGTCACGTGAAACAACAGCAGTGTGCAATATACAATGGAATTTTAGCATTCTTACGTCACTTCTTTTCAATTGGCTAACGATATCCGCTTTATTTGTGCTAACACTTGTCGAAACTGTTAAAGAACAAAAAAACTTCTGTCGAACAGAAAATCTTATCATTGTTGTTACCGTGCAATGGGTCTCGTATACATTTACTATAATGTTTGGTTATTTTGTTGAAGAAATTAATCAACATATCCTTGTAGCTTTTGTTTACTGTATTATCTACTTGGTGAATGTAGCTGTATGTCTTGTGGTGATTTATGTACCTACGTTGCGTCTTGTATCAACATGGTTACAACAGCATAAACGTCAGCAAAGAAATCTTACTAGCATCACGCATGCTCAGGTGATGTCATCGAAACGTAAATCGTCAGGACCAATCAGAGATTCACTTTTTGGTATGAACTTAACAGTGGAACACATAAGACGTTCTGGTTACTATTTTGACCTAAGACCGGCGTCAGCCGCTACTGACATGTCATGTCCTACATTACAAGTACAAAATTCCCAAGAACAAACTCATTTAGTATATGGTCATAGTCATAAGTCAAAGATGTCGTTGAATGATTTTTCTAGGGTTGATAGTATTCCGTCCGTTGATTATTTGAAAGGTCCCAGTACGTCACAGAGCGTAAATAGCATTTATGATAACATATCTCTGGCTGCAGAAGCAGAAAACATAGTTGAACATTTACCACAGGAGCTTCTCCATGAAATATCGACTTACTGGGAGCGTGACGAAAGCAATGAATCCAATGACTTTGTAGGAATATATGAGGACAATATAAACACGAACGAGTGGCCTTCTTTTGAGAAATTAAGAGCGTCAGACTTATAGATAATGACATAAGCGATTATGTAACATATAAATGAATTTATAAATGAAAGTTTTATACTATGTTCTAATATTATAAAATAATAATAATAATATTTTTTTCGGAGTTTGGTCATTTTTACAACGTCTGTTGAGGATAAAATTTATTGTGATAATTCCTACCTTTTCTCTCTCATGGCAGATTCTTGAAGATCTTTTATTTTTTCGTGGCAAAGTTGAGGTTGAGGTGAACTGTGAATCTCTGAAAGTCTTTTTGGTTAATTTAAGTTATCCATGATTGATTCCAGAAAGAAAAACTTTGTCAGATAAGTTGTTTTTTTCATGATAAACAAACACCAAGTAACTAAAAAAAGAAATCAAGATTAATCATTATCCTTCGCAAATGATAATATTACATTCAATACATTTAAACTTGACATAACACTTGCTTTTATTTCAAAATGCTTCTTTGTCAATCTTTTTCTCCGTCTTTAAATGCTGCATTTCTATCAATATGCCTAAACTAAGTATTCAAGAGTCAATGTTGTTCACCGCTGACGTCCGACAGATCGTGAGCTCAAACTTTAATATTTATGAAGCAGGAACCAGGAATAAGAATAGGAAAATTTCACCTAAATATTCATGAAAGATGCCGACGAAAAAGAAGTACAATTCTCGCTTTCCTCCGGTTTGTGTTCTTTACTGGTTGTTGAAAGCTCGAAATATTTTCTAATATTGTCATCGATCTTCTACAGGCACGAATTAAGAAGATAATGCAGACAGATGAAGATATTGGTAAAGTTGCTGCTCCTGTACCAGTAATACTTTGTATCCTTATTTTGTAAAAATTCAATTTTTCCTTGTAGAAATGTGTAGCGCTAATTTTATTGACAAACGAGAGCAAAAAAAGCCTTTGTTTACAAGTTTATTTGAGAATTATGGTCCCAAATATTTGCATACTTTTTTTCATTTTTAACTTGCATATTTAAATGCAACGGTGGTAGATATTCATGGTTAGGTAGCACGGTAAAAGTTGTTTGTATAAGTACATTTATTTTTGATCTAAATGATTTTTTTCTTGACACGTAATCACAGCAAAAGCATTAGAAATATTTATGCAAGTTTTGTTGGAGAAAGCTTGCAAAAATACTCAAGCAAGACATGCAAAAACAATGTCAACGGCACATTTGTAAGTTTAACCTTTATATATTGCAAATATCTTGCTACCTGAATATTGTGTGCTTATGCATCAAAAAGTTTGCTTTCACGAGTTTAAATAGAACTGGCAGTCATGTTTGAGATAATTCCCCATTTACTATCACATATCTTATTGTTATTGTTATAAAAAATGTACTAAATGATTGTGATATAATTTAGGAAGCAGTGTATTATATCAGAAAGCCAATTTGATTTCCTGAAAGAATTGGTAGAAAAAATTCCCGACCTTCCAAACAAAGAAGAAGATGTTGATGACATTGATGAACCAAAAGCCAAAAGGTTTTCATATAAAATAGAGACTTTTTTGAAGAAGATGAACTAGTGAAGTTCTCATGGACGATATAGTATAAAATAAACTCCAAATAACTTATTTCTTTGAAATAATTTGTTGGTAAAGTATATTTAGGGAAAAAATGCTTTATCTTTCTCCCACAGGAAAAAGATGGCTGAAAGTTCAACAATGACATGTAAAGACAAGGCAACAAAAAAACAAAAAACAAAGAAGGAACAAAAAGACATTAATTCTATGTCTGATGATTTCATATCTGATGTAAGTTTGTCACTTTTTATAACTTTAATAATTTATGTCCAATAATTTATACATAATAATACTAGTTTTATTACACTGTGTGGTATGTGGAAACTTTTATTTATGTAAAATGAAAACTTTACCCTTTGTCACTTAACACTATTGTCTTGTTTTCATAAGTTTGCATTTTGACAATTGTTTGGTAAAAGGACTTTATAGTATTTAAGATAACTGGCATGAATTGTAAAGTGAAACTTGTATCCAGGGCACTTTGTGTGTATAACAAACTTTACTGGCTACTCAGAGTATTTTCATGCTTTATTGTGATGTAAAGAATAATAAAGATCATATTTATACCATTCCCTCTATGTTATAAAGCAAATTATATTAAGATGGCCATAAAAAAAAACACAATAAAGATTTGTGTGTTTTTCTAGGAAGAGGAAAGCTCAAACTCAACTGAAAGTGGAAGTAATTCTGCTACAGGAGTGCATGGTACTCTTAACACAAGCACAAAGCCAACAATGAATTCAACTTCTACAATTACAAAGCAAATGTTTAATAATCAGTGAGTTGACTTTTTTCTATTTGTTTGGAGGCTAATATAATTTTATCAATGTTAAATACATTTTACCTGAAGAGACATATGGTGATATAATAAACCAGTGACGTGTTTGTACATCCTATGACGTCATGAGCAATTTTACATTAAGAGACCAATGATGGTATAATAAACTAGCCACGTGTGTACATCGTATGACGTCATAAGCAATTTGTAAAATTTCGCATCAAGTGGCGCTTTTCATCGTACATGTACCAAAATGAAAATGCTCATGTTCAATAGTGTTTATATTTTTCATTTGACGAAAACAACGACGCTGTGAAATTTGGCCAGTGTAACATTTTAATACAATATATGTATGACGTTATGTTTTGACGTCGTGAAATTTTACGTCATTTAAAATCTCAAATATTTTCTCTGTAGCACAAGTTTGCCCAGTAATCCCCTTGTACCATCAACGTCAACTCAAGGATTTCTTCACTTTCCAAACTCGAGTATTCCTACGCCTAGAATTTTCACAGCAACACAGTCGGAAGACGACGACTATGATTCGTGAAGTACTTTGTATAAGAGGGAAAATTTTTAGTTACAATATTTCGCATATTTTCACAAATAAAAGCGAAGTGGAATAGCACCAATTGGGGCGTAAATCGTGCACAGCAATCCTTCGTGCAACAATCCTCTCTTTCTCACGAAGATAAAAAAGTTTATTTGTTAATATTTTGTTTATACTGTCTAAGACTACGAACGATTTAATCTGATTTAATGAACATTTTTATCAGTAGATGTATTAATAATGATTTCACTTAACTTTTAATGCGTTATTATTTAAGATAAGATCTCATTAACGTGATTTGTTAAAATCGAGGACGATCAAATCAGATCAAGATGATGTTCAAACCATTGAGTTCTATAATAACAACCATTGAGTTCTATAAGTCATAACCATTCATAACCATTGAGTTCTATAAGTTATAATAGAACTCAATGGTTCAAACTCACTACAGCTACGTAGTTATTTACAGCTCAGTGGGTAATCTTTATCTCTCGTTCCCAGGGAAAACGCAAAATATGGCGGAAAATATTGAATGGCGGAAAATATTGAATTTGCAAAATATGGCGGAAAATATTGAATTTGTAAATGTAGATGAAAGTTATAAATTTTCAGCAATAAGCAGCTGTGAGGAATATGACCATGTAAAGAAATGTGTTTTAAAATTGGAAGCGGAGGTTGAAAGTCTAAAAAAAGTCGACGGAAAGGTTGCTAGTAAATACATTTATTTTTCAAAAATAAATTTGTTCAATGACTTGATTGATAATAGGTTACATGAAGCAAATTTTCCCGTTTCTTGAACTTGACGGGCCAATCAAACATATGTTGAATTAAACAGTCGGTGTATGTTGCTGCTGCGTATGATTATGACATAATTTTCTTGCAGGTAAAAGGTCATGAACTAAGTTGTCAGATTGCCAAGAAATGGTATATTGTAAACAGTAAAAAAACACAAGATCTTGTAGCTGAAGAACAAACAAGTTCAGAATTGCCTGAAGAATTTAAATCCAACTTGTAAGTACTGCTAATGTTTGTTATATTTATGCAAAGTTTAGGTTATGTTAGGTGATGTTAAATTCATATGGAAAGGTTTTAGTATCCTGAAGTATTGTTGCCTGGCAGTAAAGGTTAGTCTTAGTTTTGATTGGTTAAGTTCCTTAGGTTCATTTTTTTGACGAAATACTGGAAATAACCACATGTCCTGAATGGCTTTGGTAGGTTATGAAGTAAAAAGATATTGTTAGCTTAATTACAGGAAGCTAATAATTAAAAAAATGTGAATTTTTTGGCCAATTTGAATAAAGCAGGTTATGATGGTTGTATGTATATGACTCAAGTCATAGAAATGAGCCAGTTTTCTTCCTAAAAACTGGTCATACAAGAGAAAAGATTTGTTGTTTTTTTATGCAATTTAGGCAATTTTTAGAGATTTTGGATTTACTGTCAATGATACAGAAAGAAGAGAGGCAACTTAACATGGTAAAATATCAACTCTATCTGGCAAAGAAAGAGCAAGAGCTTTCTGTGTTTAAAAGCTTGGTTTCCAACACTTCAACAAACATACATAGAATCAATGATAGTCCACTTAATGTTTGGTTTAGTGAAATAAAACAATGGATGAGCACTAATGAATGTTGGAAAATGTCTGAAGGTATTATTAAGTTAGAAATTTGTTTTACTACATTACAATAACAATCCATAGAAATGCCAACATGAAAAATTCATCATTCTCTTGATGAAATATTTCCCATGAAATATACTTCAGCACTATTCATTAAATTACATTTTGGTATGAATATTTTAAAATTATTAGTTTAAGTATATCATTGCATCCAAGACAATTTTATGACATCTTGTTACTTCTAGTGAAAAATCTAATGTATGTTATTTAACTAAGATTTAAAAAGAGCAATAACAGAAGATTGTGTGTAAAATATTTTTTGCCCATTTATATTTTTCAAGTTCTGCAATAGAAAGCTGTTGGTTGCTGAGGTGTTTGTATTGGTTAATTAAATACATGTACTTCCATTTATTTTTTTGTAATTGTAAATTTACATGTTTTTAAGGTAAATTTTGTGATACAAGTCGATTGTTTTATGATGTAAAATATATGAATGGTACACCGAAGACACATGATTCACTTGTTGAGAAGATTTTGAAGATGAAAAGTCGTAGACGCAATCAATATATGATGGAATGCTCAAATGAAGAACTTTGTTTTTCTACCTTTCATAAAGGATTTCGAATAAGGATCTCAATAACAGCAAGAACACAAGAAAACTGGTTAGAACAGAATCATAACAAATCTTGAGTGTTTGTACATACTTACTACAGTCTTTTGTCTGACAATAGACTTTGGTAATTAAATAATAAGTTGCTGAACATTGATTGCAATGCCAAAATCATTTTTTCTTCTCTAGTGACAAAGAAAAGAGTTATGAAGTTCATTCATCTTTACATTTGAACTTTTTACTTGAACGTTTGTTGGAGTATTTGAAATCAAAGAAAAATCTTCAAGACTTTGTTGCTCTTCACATGTGGAAAGAAATAGAAAATTTGACCTCTTCAATCAAGTCATACAGACATGATGTCCCCGTTTGAGATCGTCAGGTTAGCTACAAACAAGGTCATTTCAAGTTACTATTTTGATTACTTCATGTTACAAGTGAGATTACGTCATGTTACAA